TAGAAATATTTTTTGTAAAGACAATTTTCCAACAGACCAGTAGACAAGAAGTCTCACTCAGACATAAATTAGCAGGCTGCAGGAAATTAAATGTTTTGCTATTTCTAACATAATTTCTTGTGTAATCTCCCTTTTTACATACTGAAAAGCTGTTTGATACTTGTTAAAAATGGCATTCTCTTGCTTTTTAAAACTGTAAGATATGTGACTTTAGGTAATTATATTGAAATGATTCCTAAATAATAAATAGAATTGTATCAAAATCGAATGTATATTTCTATTTTGAAGTGCGGACCTGGGCTATTATTTATAGGGCTGAGGTGGCACTCTGTACAAGTTGAGTTTGACATGCCTGCTGTACAGTGTACAGACGAGCAACACGTCATGTTCTCACACGAGTTGCAAAGTGCATTGGTGTTAACGGTGGAATTTTCGGACATGTATTATACTAGGTAAACTGTACCAACTCTGTCACTTGAAGAAGAGAAACAGTACGCAATATCGATTTCCTATCAACAGTTTTGGAACTGTACAGTGAAATAGCTAACCTTCCGCCATCTTTGAGCCGATTGTCAAGGTAATGTGGGACCCTCAACGTCTCACAACCCTATGGGTCTTCACGGCCTGTTACAGGGATAGCTTTACTTTTACTTTACAGTGAAATAGCTCTATCTCGGAAACCGTTCGGAGTAGGACACATGTACGTGTACACTTTTCTGTGTAGAATGACTGATACTATGACTTCCCAGAATATTGACCCTTCCTCTTAGGCACGTACGCTGATCCTGAAGATGGTGACTTCACACCGAAAAGTAGAACACGACACTACNCCCCCCCCCAAAGCTCTAATCATATATTAGAGTCATATTTCAATTAACGAGTTTCAAATAATTAGAATGGATTCAACACTTGGGCTTAGATGCGAAACCGCGAACGAAGTCGACATTGAACGGGTTGTTCCTTAGATTACGCCGTAGATCCTGCAGTACTGTGTTCGAGTCCCGGCCGTAACACCAGTTTTCCTTAGTTCCCCAAGAAAATCCGGGACAGTACCTCGGTTAAGCTACGATCGTTTTGTTCCAAAGCGTCTTCAAATTCCTCTTTCATATGCCAACCGCCGCCATATAATCTGGATACTGAGGCAGCGTCTACACGAGCGCTCAAACTGCGTCCTTGTAACGAACGCGCTTTGCTGAGGACACCACATAGTTGCAGAATGCGGTGCGTAGTTTCATTGCAGACAAAAAACTACGCACCGCATTCTGCAACTGTGTGGTGTCCTCAGCAAAGTGCGTTCGTTACAACGGACGCAGTTTGTGCGCTCATGTAGACGCTGCATGAAAGCACACACACGAGAAGCTGGCAAGCGAGCCGGCAAAGTTGCGTGTGGGGGCAGGCGGAACGTAATGAAACAGTTCCGTTTCATATTTGTGTTTTCTTGGTTTGGTGTTGTGCAGATCACAATCGCCAGCAGCAGGCGGACGGTGCAGGGTGTAAGCCGGGGGTTGAGGCGCCTTTGTCCAGCAAACCAGGGGAAGCAGCAATTCCATCATCACAACGACCGACGCCGCCGGAGATCTTGCTGCCGCATCTGCGACATAGCTCTGCCGGCTTTGAGGCGTTGTGCGTCTTAGTGCACTACCTGGTGTACACTGTGAGTACAAGGGAATGTAAAGTTGTTCCTGTAACAGCCCGTGGAGGCCCATTGGGTTGTGAGACGTAATTCTCTGTACAATCGGCTCACAGATGGCGGTCAGGTCAGCCTTACTCGCCGGCCGCCCTTTACCCACCAGAAAGATTCCTGGTACTCATTTCTGTTAGAGGCTTAGTCGAACCTAGTACCATAGTGCGGCTGGAAGGATTAAGTCAATTGAAAAATCCAATGACCTCATCGGGAATCAAACCCTCGACCTTCCGGCTTGTAGCATAGTGCCTCAGCCAACTACGCTACCGCATGCCCTAAGGTAGAGCTATCCTGTTAACAGGGCGTGGAGGCCCATAGGGTTGGAGACATCGAGGCTCCCACATTTTATTGGACAGTCGGCTAACATTGTAATTCAATGTAATAAAATGTTTTTGATAGATGACGATTAAGTAAGGATCTGACACGCTTGAAGGCGTATGCCGGTAACAGGTGTAAAACACAGCGTAGAAAAATAAGCTTGCATACTCTGCATCCTCATAGATACTACAGTAGTGCAGCTGAGTGCGAGAATGATCTAAGTATGCAGTTCTGCTAAGGGTACCACTTTAGTTACTCTGAACAGGCCCTTAGCAGAGCTGCGAGCAATGGAGTCAGTTCTCTTGCATAATAGCATGTATAGAAAGCAGATTGAGGCTCTGTGCTACAAGCCGGAAGGTCACGGGTTCGATTCCCTATGAAGCCCTTTGGTTTTTTTTAATCGAGGCCTCACTATGGCCCTGGGGTTGACTCAGCCTCTAAGAGAAATGAGTACCAGGAATCTTCCTGAGGTGTAAAGGGCGGCCGGCGCGTAAGGTTGACAACAACACCGCCATCTGTGAGCCGATTGTCTAGAAAATGTGGGAGCCTCAACGTCTCACAACCCTATGGTCCTCCACGGCCTGTTAAAGGGATAGTTTACCTTTTTTATGAATACAGTACGTACCATGGCAGACTTGTTCTCCATCAGGAGCCGAATTTAATGGGACTAGCATTTGTGAGCAACAACATGGCATACTTGTACTTTCCAAGCAACAGAAGTATGCTGTAACAGCACGTGCACTACTACCCAGTACCCAACATCGGCATACAACGAGAGCCAATTTCTTCGACATCTCAAGGGGCAGCATGCAAACCTAAGTTGCAGCTTTGCGTAGCACAGTATGGCTCTGTCAGCAAGACGGAAAGCGAATTTAATGCATAACTCCGTTGGGTGTTTGAAGGGGGGGAGGGATGGGCCTGTTGGACATAAAGAGCCCAACAGGCAGGTCCCTGTCCCAGAGCAAAAGGAAGGGATTGGATTTGCAGATAGGAAATATACGATAGTGCTGCTTAGTGGCAGAAGTGGTTGTTGTCCTACCAGGGACAAACAAAACGACTCCAAGGAGTCCACCGTCAGCCCCATTCGCTCCCCAGCTTAAGACGGAAACATAATTTAACTGGAATACCTTCTCTCAGAAGGACCTAGCAACACGCATAAAACTGCAGACATCTCCAGAACACGGCACAGAAACTGTAGAGCTGATGCCGTGATCCTGAGAAGAAGTGCTCTGCATTCGCAGGAAAGTCTAATGAGGTCCAGGACTCCAGAGGGGAATGCACAGGAACTATCAGATATATCACTGGAATGTACCGAATTCGTTGAACTCAAACGCCATCCTCACCGTGGCAAACACTTGCATAGTCTTGCATGACTGGAGAAGCTGGCGCAATTCCCGAACACGAAGTGAGAGGTACCAGAAACATGACCCTCAGTAGCACGATCGGCCCTGTGTGACCATGGCTTACATCTGGGCTATTTACAGTACGTGATTTTGTGTCCAGCAGTGACCAAGTGCTGTAAGTGCTGGAACAGTTCTGTGGTTCAAGAAAGCGCATGCCCAAATTGTAACGTTTCTGTGTCAGCCGAACAAGAGCACCTGTTTGAACTGGATGGAAACATTCCTAGAGTGAATAGTGAGTGACCCGTGACTGGATGTGAGTGCAGTACTTCACTCCAGAGTCCAAGCAGTCCGGCATGGAATGGAGTCACAAGGGATCTCCACCACAAAAACAATTCAAGGAAGCCATCAGCTAGGCAAGTGCCTAGGGCAGTGCAGTATAAAAGACCCGGGAAACTGTCAAAGAAGATCGTCATACTGCATGACACCCTCATCCAAATTTCACGAAGGCAACACTGGCAACATTGGGCTGAGAAATCATGAATGACGCTCCTAGCAGTCCTGTCATAGTCCCCAATGATTTTCTTTTGTTTTGACCAATGAAGGCGCACCAATCACACAGGAAATGCAAACTGATGATGAACTCAAATGCTGCGGGCATCAATATAAAGGGCATAAAGGGAGAATCTCTTGAGAAGCTGCGAGAGTCTGGTGAATGATGCATGTATATTTTTTTTGTAAAGGAAAAGGAGTCCAGATTAAGTATCAATCGCCCTCATAGCGTGAAACAGGTTTGTTTTTTCGCCTAGAACTTTCTCTCTTTAGAAAATAAGGAGCTCCAAGAAGGTTTAATTTCATTATTTTCTGTCATTTTGTGTTATATCTTCCGATCACAAGATGTGGCCATGGCAATGCAGTTTTAATTCCTGTTGTTTCACTTTCTTTGTGATAGGCCTCTATAAAGCCAAGCCTCAATTTTCATTTCCTGGTCCATTACGTTTAAAATTCTGTAGCAGCACACTTACAGTTAGGTTACTGTCAGACACATACAGTCTCATGCAGGAAGGAACAGAGGTAGATATGAAGACCGTTGAGCTTTTCTTTACCAGTATGTTTGATATCGTGATATGTTGCTTGTGTAATATCATTTACACTCTCTCTCTCTCTCTCTCTCTCTCCAGATATTGCTGTAATTAATGAGTCGGTGCACGTACATGCAAGTTCTGCCTTAGCAGTGATTTTAGTACATAAATAAAGTATAGGGTTCAATAACTATTTCTTATAACAGATTTCCAGAATTCACTGTTTCACCTAAATAATTTTATTCTGACTTGTGTTCTTATTCTTGTAGTAAGAAATATGTTTTTCTAGAATTAGATGTGAAATGCATGGTTCCTGTTTTTCCTTCATTCCTTTGGGCCATTCCTTAGTTAGTTGAGAATGGTGGGCCACATTCCTTTGTTTCATGGGTGAAACGTGGCCCTGACATATTAACATTATACAGTAGTTCACATTGTTTTGCCATCTGATTGCAGCTGGATGCATTTTCCACACCACAATTACGAAAAGACTTGGAGAGTATGAAGACTGAATGGCTGAAAACTAAGCTGAAACTGGGTATGTTCTGGAAATTGTGTGAGATTTGAAGTTCTTGTGATCATGAACAGAGAGCTTACAGTTGTCTGAGTTGTGTTGCTGTGTAATCAGGTAGATACATGTAAGATTTGAGGCTTTCACGGCGGTGACTATGAAGAAAGCAGTCTTCTGGGATTTGGCACCGTGTATATGTGGTGTTAACCGNGCACTGGGAAGACCAAGGCATAGGTGGGTGGACAGTATTAAAATGGATCTTAAATAGATAGGATGGGATGGTATGGATTGAATTGTTCTGGCTCATGATAGGGACCAGTGGAGAGCGTTTGTGAACACGGTAATGAACCTTCGGGTTCCATAAAATGCTGGGAAATTCTTGAGTAGCTGCAGAATTGGCGGCTCCTCAAAAAGGGCTCAACTCTATGAGCAAATAAGTAAGTAAGTAAGTAAGAGGTGGAGGTTGTAGATTTTTCCAAAACATTTATTTGTACATGTCTATCAGACTGCTTGTCATTACATTCCTGAAGACTACAGGTACTGCTTGTTATATGGGAGATTGAAATTTTAATTTTAATGTACTTGGCTGATTTAGGCAGATTTCAGTTAATAGTTCTCACTTTAATGAAATTATTTGCTGACTCTTCAGAAGGGGTGAGGAGAAGGAAGTTTTGGCTTGGTTAATGTTTGATTTATTTGATTTCACCGTCTGCAAATTTTTTCAACACAGTTGTCACATTAATCAAGGTGAACCTGTACTCTTATTTTGATAATTGTGGTTGAAATATATTATAAAAGCAGTTTGGTAAAGTCAACGTTACAAAAGTGGCTCTTACCTTTGAGTATTGTTTTATGAGGTCATTAGTTGTTGCTGACGCTGGTTTCCACTATAATGATTGCGTTTTGAAGCTCTGATTTCTACAACATCATCATCATCATCAGTCGAAATAACGTGTAAAAATTAAGTTCCTACTGCACCAGGGTGCAGCTTCTGCACTGCAAATGCTGTTTAGGGCAGTGTGAGTGAAAGCTGCTTGTTCTGAGGATCATGTAGGACACTGTGAGAAAAGTGCAGTATACATGTATTATTGCAAATTTTACAGTTGTGTTTTACAAGGTTAAGGCTAACATTTAGACACACTCGTGAATCATTCATGCTGTCATACCGAAATTGTAACAGATGTTTCATAATTTGCTCCTCATGTGAAAAACATGGACATTGCATTTTTTTACTTCTCTTCTGGTTCAATGCCACCAGTGCAGACTGTCATTGAAAACACTCCTCAGTCAGTCATATCTGCATAACTCATTCCCCTATGATTCATGTGTAGCGTGTTTTATTTATTGTGTCAGGAAGGAAGGGAATTATGCATTCTTCACCTAAGATATGGTCATTCCCTGTCACTGCCTCTCTGTGTAGAACATTAAAGATTGGATAACACTGAAATCAGGAAATTTAAATTTTGTTCGTATAGTAGAAATAAATTATGAAATTAATGCAGAGTGTAACAAATCCAGTGCATTTGCTTCCTTTTATTTATCTGTCTTGAAAACTATAAGACTTATAAAAAAGTGTATTGTGCAAGACATATGTTTCATTTTTCTCCTGCACTTCTTACCAAAATAGTTTTTTTACTGTTGCAGGTATATAGCAAGTCATGATAAGGATTGTTTTGAAATGCATGTAGGTCTTTTTGTTACACGTGCAGTCACTGTTGTCTGATTTGAACCAAAACATGCTATACTTGATGTCATTGAAAAATTCCTGAATTCCTGTGGATGGTGTAGATGGCAGCAATTGAGGCTTCCCATTTCACCTACAGATATAGTCCCGGCCAGCCACCCCTGGCCTATGTCCTTGTTGCTATGGAAGGTTATCTTATGGCTATCACCACCAAGACTTGGATGAACAAAATGACTATATGGTTGGAGGGGAATATCAGAAAGTGTAGCGGAGGGGTAAGCCTGAAACTCCAGGAAGATGTGGATGACAATAATCCATTGGACTTCTTTCTGTGTCCTTATTATAGCTGCTTTGATGCCCATGGGATGCAATCAGATTAAAGTACAAATAGTTTAATTATAGGAAAACAAATATATTGTGACGTGTTATCTTACCCCCATTGCCGCGACAACTGCTACAATCAAAATGCACACTTCCACGGCAACAAATACGTGGAAATTGTGGAGTTCCCACAGCGACAAATTGTAGCAACGAATTGTCTTTGAGTAAAAACGGGAAATGATTGCACTTTCTAAGACACAGATTGTTGAACCAGCAGGAATAATTCACTTCCGTGGTAACGAGACATTCTTGGGATAGTCGCCATTGAAGATAGTTGAGATCCAGCCATGGTCAGAGACAGCTGGAAGATAGCTGCCGCAGAATGCAGTTGAAGTGATACTAATTGTACTTGAGTGGGTAAGAGTCAGTGTTCAATAAATATCCACTAAATCTGAGACCCACGTGAAGTTATTTATCATGCCGCATAGGCAACATGCAACAATATTTTACCCCTTTTAAAGTTTTGTAATAATTTTGAGACAGGTCTTCTGAAGTGTTATGATTAATTTTTTCTATTTGTATTGAACAGAGGAAATGATAGAGCATGTTAAATACTTACGTGGCCCAAAGCAGATGAAATTGCATTTCAGTGTCGTCTGCTTTCGTGTTTCCTTGCAGTAATAGTATATGGCTTCCAGAATATATTCATTCTCCTTCTTAATCTACAGCCATAGTTCTTTAATCTGTGCATCCAATTTGACATTCCAAAGGTAGAGTTATAGCACCATGATGATAGATCCTGCAACTGTGAATGTTTGTTTCAGAGGAAGCTCAGGTGAGCTATCGGCGTATGGAAGACACCTTTAAGCAAGAAACTGCGTTGTGTCGTCAAAAGATTGAGGAAGCTGAAGCCACTAATCGCCGTGAGCTGGCTGCTCGGGACACCAAGCACAGTCAGGAAAGCGCAGAATGTGAGCATTCCTCTCATCGCAAAGGGATAAGTTGCAAATACATATATAAGTGTTTATTTTGTTACTTCTATTCATAAGAAGGAATTGTCAGTGGTTTGTGGCGGCTAGTTCTTGTTCCCACACTGTATAGGTGTTATCCTGTGTAGTCTTCCTGTGTGCGTGCCGCTGTTATTCTTTACTACGTGACACGTAGTACGTAGTTCGTAGAACTAGCCGCTACAGCACTTTAGACATAGGGCGAGTAACCCTACCAATTTTAAATTTGGAATTTGGAGAAAAAAATTTTAAAGGATTTTAAAATTAGAACTAAAGATTTTATAGTGCTACTACAGGTACATCAGAATTAACGTGTGTAAAGTGATCTACATCCAGACAGATATCAACGAAGTAGATGTTGATAATAACAAAGAAAGTGTTTAAATGTTAAATTTTGGGCTGAGTGCAGTGTGACAGCGACGTGAGTGTTATACACCTGATGATGGCCGTCTGTGGCCGAAACATGTAGTGTGGGTGAACAAGATCAAGGACACATAATATATTGTTTGCACTTGGGACAGAATTTGTATCATTATATCATTTATAAAATAGTGAAATTAAAATGAATGTACTTCCTTTGTACTTAGTATAGGAATTCATTAGGATTAACATTAAGTGGAACATGATTAGAAACTCAGTCTGTCATAATATGTTTAGGGTGTAATTTAACAGTTTATCACCCTTAATTATGATAATCTTTGTGCTTTGATTGCAGTGGTGGCCCGTCATGAAGCAGAATTATTTGATTTTGAGAAGAGGCTGCAAGAACAGGTGTGTGGTAACAATCCAATAAAGTAGTTCCATTTTACCTGTAATTTTTTTATGGTATGAAACCTGATCTCTCACCATAAGCGAGGTACATAGATTAAGGATGTTTAAGGATATTTGGACCTGATGTTTAGGAACTGATAGGAGGATAGAGAAAAATGGTAGGTCATGACTTTAATTTCTTGAAAGTTTTAGCCATGTTCGGAGGCAGATGAAGGTCATGACAGTTCTGCATTATTGGTATATGCATCGTATGAGACAACTATGCATATTTGAACTAGAACTTCATTCAATAAGTTGAGGAAGAAAAGGGGAAGGAAATATAAACAAGGGAATATGCTTAGGAATTACTGGGTTTCCTTCATCTTATTACACTTCTACATGTGTTCTATATAGTGACTCTTTCCGGTGATAATACTTGTATATACTACAGAGTCGGTGTAAGTTCGTACTGTTTTCTGCGTTTTGAAGAATTGTCCTTTCAGTCATCATTAATGATAACTTTGTGAGTCTGGATGCTGCGTAGGTTAAGTATAGATCTTCAGAGCAGAGGATGCTTGCCTGTATGATGGACACACTGGTGTTTATGTCTCCACAGATTATTATTTCAGATTTTGGACTGTACAGATGCTTTAAAATTGCATCTAGTCTCTTTAAAAATTCATTAAAATCTCCTGTAGGAGCTCTGCACAAACTTAATGCCATTAGTAGTTACTATAGGATTCTGACGATGGTGTATAACACCATTTCTACAGATCTATCTATCCTGGTTCCACGCTTGTAAGTGTTTGCTACAATTTGTCATGAATATTTTTTCTTATTAGCTCTCATGGACTTAGCCTGGTCTCAGGTGTTTATACTCTTCATGTGTTGTGACATTGGTTTGTCCAGTGATTGAGGCTAGCTCTTTCTAAGGGACCCAACTGAATAGGTGTTTTCCTTCACCTGAGGACGGAAACAGATCCAGTTTCCGAAACGTCGTGTTTTTATTTGTTATCTGAAAAACCAGGACGATGGATAAAGTCCTTAATGCCATTAGGTTAACTGTTTTAGTTACTAGTAAAATTGCACAGACTTCTAAGTCCTGTTCCTTACAGTGATGAGAAATATCGATTTTGTTGAAATGTTGACCTTTCTTAACAAAAATACACACACCTCCCCTCTTTGTCCTTTTCGACAAAAGCTGGATCCTAATTGGTAACCATTCACTGAGAGGTGCAGCAGGTCCTGTTCAACCATGTGATGCTCACTTAAACATAATATATGAGGCTTAATGGAGTCTATTTCAAAGGAGTGTATTAATTCATCTCTTTTGCTTCTTAATCCTCTGATATTCTGGTGAAAGATAGTTATTGAATTTGATGATTCTGCATTTTGTCTGTGAGCTTCAGAGATTGCAGAACTATATTTAATATATGTTAAGCACCTGTGTGCTTTTGATTTTAGGCTAAAAAGGAGAGGCTGTATTGAATTGAATTGAATTGAATTTATTTACATTCTATAAATCCTAAGTAGGTTAGTACCTTTGGATATAGAACAAGTCAAAAGGTTACATGCATAAGTACAGGCAATTTTAGCTTAAAAATTAATATAACTTAATTTTACATCATTCTCTATTTACATTGAAGTATTCATCTAAAGAGTAGAAAGAATGAGCATGTAGATAATTCTTTAACTCTGATTTAAACTTTTTAGTATCATTGCCCAAGTTTTTAATACTTTGTGGCAGATTGTTGAACACTTTTATGCCAGTAAAGTAGACTCCTTTTTGATATACTGATAAAGTTGATGAGGGTAGGTGGAAGTTATATTTTTGTCTAGTATTCATGTTATAGACATCAGAATTTAATTTGAATTTATCTTTGTTGTAAACAACAAATAAGAGAAGCGATAATATGTATTGCGATTGAAGAGGTAGAATTTTTAATTTCTTAAATAATTCTCTACATGAATCTCTACTTCTACATCCTGTAATGATTCTAATTATATTCTTTTGTATTTTAAAAATTATTACACTATGTGAAGAGTTCCCCCAAAATATTAATCCATAGTTCATAATAGAATGAAAGTAGGCATGGTAAACCATCTTCAATGTTTCCTGTGACATAAAAGGCTTAATTGATCTCATCGCATAGCAAGCTGCATTTAATTTAGGTATAATTTGTTCAATATGTATTTTCCAAGACAGTGTACTGTCTACATGTATTCCAAGGAATTTTGTATCAAGTACTTTACAGATTAATTTGTTGGCATAACTGATGTCCAGATCAATTTGGTGGTTGTTTTTAGTTGTGAATGATATGTAATGGGTTTTATCAAAATTTAATGAGAGTAAATTGGCTTTGAACCATCTGTTTAAGGCTTCAAATACAATATTTATGTCATTTTTAAAGTTTTCAAATTTAGAGTTCTTAAATATTATACTAGTGTCATCTGCATATAGAATTGGTTTAGATTTATTGTTGATGGTTTTAGATAGATCATTTATGTAGAGAAGAAAAAGTAAGGGACCTAAAATTGATCCTTGTGGAACACCGTGCTTTATATTTCCCCAGTTTGAAAATGCATCATGACTGGAGTTTTTATTATTTATTTCAACTCTTTGATTGGTTATGACAGGAATGTTGCATAAACTTTACACACGACCATCAACAACCCTCCCGGCAATAAGATGCACAAGACTCTCCTTGCCTCGAGAATTTAAATGAAGGCCATGCCTCGTGTAACCCTCCCTCACAATGGACCATGTATCAGTGACACCAATGTGAGACATATCCCTCCTCATCAGGGCCCGATCAAGCCAAAGATTCATGCTCCCAACCCTCCCATTCATCCTCGGATCATCGTGCCCCTGGAAGAGGTTGACACATCCCACCTCTGTGTTTGATGTCCTCTGCAGTGAAGTTGAGATCGTCTTCAGCTGACTAATAATAGTTTCTATCCAGCCTGTTTCCTGGCCCTCCCACTATAATAATATGATCCTGCTTGGTAAGGTCTTTACCAAGCTTCTCTAGATCCTCAACAACCTTTGCCAGAGGAGCATTTGGCTTGAAAATGCTACATATGTCAAATTTAGAGCCCAGGATTTTTTGAAGCATGGGTCTAATTCCCCTAGCATGACTTTTTCTTTCTTTTGCTTCTATTTTTCTTGGTGAATGATTTCCGTTGCCTGCTTCCATGCTTCAACAGAACTGGGGTTTGCTGAGCAACTTCCAGTGTATCTGTTGCCCGCACACTGATTTTGTTGTTCTGTTTAATCTTACATACATCATTAGCAGATAATCTGCGGCACCTGAACTTGGAATTTTTTTGTTTTTTCCAATGTCCAAAAATATCCCGTTCTATAAAACTATTGCTGATATTTCCAGCTTTGAGTTTGCAAATTTCCTCGCGAGCTGCCTCTAATTCCTGTTCCAAGTGCCTGATTCTCTCCTGTTTCTTTGAATGACTCTGGTGTTTACATGGCTCCCAATACCACGGCCTGCTTCCGTCTGCTACACTGTGGCTGGCACTAGCACAGTTTATGTGGAAGCAAAAGCCACACTCTGTACAAGACAGGCCATTGGTGACCCATCTACAACATGCTCCACACTTATTAGAAAGGCTATTGATACCAGACATCATTTTAGCTATAAGTATTAATATTGAAACCACACTTAGTAAGAGTTCACTTGTGGACATTCACTGCACAACTCTGTTTATCAATACTTAAAATAAGCCTGAAACCAGATGCACTTCACTTGCATGACATGCAAATCGATCACTTTATTCGATGTTTTATATTTAACTTTCACTTCAATATACATCACAGATATAGTTTGAATGATTTGAGTTCGAAAAACTACAGTTCACTTACAGTCATAGCCAACATTTGTTTTCTATCGGGGCCAAATTTCTTGAAATCAATATGGAGGATCTGTTGTCTCTGTTACAAGTTTATAATGTTACCAGATTCTAAGTATTACATGTCTAAGCTATAAGACAAATATCACAGGAATAAACTAGAATCTTAGGTTAATCAGAATAAGTAATCGAAGTTATTAAACTTGCTTAATACTAAAAAGGATTAGCAGAAACTACAGAGCTCCTTTCTGACGTTGCTTCCACCACCACGCCACGCCACTCCACTTATGATAATATAAAAACACATCTTTTAAAATAAGACAGGGGAGAGTTTTACTGAGTTCATTTGGCTCAAGATTAGGCCTTTTGGAAGCTCTTTGGAATACTGTAATGAACATTCATTTTCCACAGAATGCATTGAGTTTCTTGAGCTTTATACTCAGCTCCACACAAGCCATACACAGCATCATTATGGACACCCATAGATCCAAACAACACAGACACAAAGAGACAGCACACCACCATTGGTGCCCACGCAGAATTAAAAGGGGGGATTGTTAACAGTCTTTCAGTACTCTACATTGTTAAATACCCACAACCCCACATGGACCCTGCACAACTTTGCTATGGCTTCAACCATATAGAACTAGTTCCACAAAAAGGCAACCCCACATCAAGCCAGAAGGAAAGTAAATACAAGACAAACTCAACCAACAGTTTTAACATTAAGAAAGTTTGATGCAACACTCCCCATACCCAGTGCTCCACAAATATGTGACTACCTGTGGTATAATGATTTTATTTCATAACAAATTAATTTAACAAAATATTTGAACCTTTATACCAAAGGCCTGAGTACTGAACCAAGACCATACATCAACTTTGGTGGAACTGAAATCCTGGACCTCATGGGTTAGATAGAAGTGGGTTCTGTAAACTACAGTACTGGCTATTTTATGTATTTATGTATCCCTGTAAGTGAAACCATGCTTCATCAGTAGGGAATGTCAGTTTCCAAAGTGATGTCACCCTTGGGAACTGTCTGCACAAAGCAAATGTAAAAATGAAATGGATTGCTCAGCTTGGATTACTGTTGATTTATGTGGCCTAAGCTACAGCACTTACATTGCTCTTTTTGCACTTGAGTTTAACCCCCCAGGCTCCTGAACTAGATGTGTTAGTGATTTTGTAGGTGTATGTTCAAGCCTGACTCTTATATTTTCTAAATCAGTAAGCACTTGACAGTTATGATTTAGATTTCTTTTGTATTAACAGTCCTGCTGATCTGGGGATATTCACCAAATTGTGAATTGCTGGTCTGCTCAGAACTCTTTCAACACAAAATTTTGCCAACACTTCCTTGTGTTAAAAAATATTTGTTGGCTCTGATGTATATGGCGCTGTGACGTAATACAGTGCTCACTAGTCTATAACTGAACAAAACAGCTGCTGGGGGCAGCTTAAGCAGAATTCCCTGCATGAACTGTGCTGCTTGTTGTGAAACTATAACGTGATGAAGTGGTGAATAAGTGAATAACTTCTGTACTGTTGTGATACTGTGTGATGCCAAACACATTGATTCCTCATTCAACCTTCTCTGTGTCTGTTTCCATTGAACTTACAAATGAAGACTTTTTTGGTATACTCGTAGTTCAGTAATTCAATATTGTTAATGAAAGAAGGTTTCATCACCATTGCGACCGAGGACCACCACTGAATCTTGCCCTCTGCAAGTTCATGTATTGTAACCAGCTTTTGTTTTTATGATATACATTTCTGAACATAGCAGACTTTGGAGTGTGACGCTTTGTTAGCGGGTAAATAAGTACCACTGTTTCCAAGAAACCTACTGGCTACCTCCGTCTTGTACCGAACTACACTTCATATCCAGCACGAGAACCCTGTATCATAAGTTATCTGTTTATGAGGGTTGTTCAAATGAAATCTGTTCGCATATTCAGCCATGTTCTGCCCCCACAAGAAAATGCTGAATTACCACAGATTTGGGTTGGATGAGGACATCAAGCCCATTATGGTGCAGTGGTTCTAGCAGCAGTGCAGGCAGGTCCTTGTGAAGGGGATCTGTCAGCAGAGAGATACTTGTGGGCACTAATGTAAAACAGCCTGTACTTACTTCCTCAGGACTGTCCATGAATGGGGTTCATTTGAATAACCCTAGTGTATTTCATTATCTCAGTCAGGGGTTTCAATGAATATTTTGTGTATTTTTTCCCCTCTATTTGTGCTACATGATCTGACCCTAACAAATCTAGAAGGTTCTTAAGCTCTTCAATATTTAATTTCTTCCACTTTACAACCTATTTGTCTCTTGCAGACCAAGTTTTCTTTTTGGCACTGTTATCTGGAATGTACAGCTTAAGTGTGATGATAATGGGGGCTTGGTAGTCTCAGGTTAAGACACCAGACTCTGTTTAAGAGAATTATGAATTCCTTGCTGAGAACTATGTATTACAACATGTTATCGATTCCATTGTAGGTAGTGTTGAACCATCTAATAATGACCCTTACGATGGATTGAAACCAGCAAAGGGACAAGAGTCGACAGAAAAATGGTTGAATACTTATTGTATTGATGGGTTTATAACTTATTACTTAGTGTCATGTACAGTACAACAGGATGCCACAACTGAGAAGTATTTACATTGTAAGACTGTTTATTTGCTGCAGCTGCTGGAGATGAAGGGCCGCTATGAGAAAGAGCTGTCGTGTGCACAACAGCGGCATGCTGAGGAGTTGGAGCGTGTGGCAGCAGATGGAAGAGGCTGCCTGGAGCAAGTTCACCATGAACATGCGGCTGCTTTGGCCCGCCTGCAAACTGATACATTCCAGAGAGAAGCTGAGCTGAGACACAGGCTTGCTAATGTTGAAGAAGAATATTCTGGTCTCAAAGATCAGTCACGAAAGATTATGGACAGCATGCAGAAAGACAAGGATACAAAGTTGCAAGTCACTGCAGGTCGCTGTAAGAAGCTGCAGGATGAAGTAGAATCCCTTCAAACAGTCCTTGACTTGCGACATGAAGAACTTCAGGAATTACGAAAACAGAACGCACTTCTCACCAGGGAGGCTCAGGAGGAACTTCCTGCTGCTCTGCAGCGAGTTGCAGCTCTTGAAGCCAAGGTAGAGGACTTGAAGGTACAACTTCAAATGAAGACTAACCTTGAGAGACAGTTGTCAGAACACAACCGACTGCTAATGGAATCTTTCCACCAGGAATCAAAACAGAGTAAGAGATTGTCACTACACAACGAGGAGCTGCAGTGGAAGTTGAAACAGAATTTGGAAGTAGTGAATGCTCTAGCAGCTCTGAGTGGAGCTTCCATGACTGGCCCTCTGCAAGCTGCATCTACCAATGGTAGGAGAAGTTCTCATGGCTCTGCACAATCCCTGGCCGACTCTGATATTACTGCAACTGGTAATCAAATGTTTGTCAGTAGGACATCTCCACGGCCTTTATCTGCCGGAAGATCTTATAACTCAAGCAGTTCAGATTTGTCTGTGGGCCCTGCCATGGCTAGTCACTCTGCCCTTGGTGAAGATCTTGAAATATCACCACCTGCTTCACCAAAAGTAAAAGGTGTGGTAGAGAAAAGTGATTCTGTGTCATGGGTTGTAGAGATTGATGAAACGCCAGAAGCCTTACTATCCAGGTTAGTTCGCAGAGCAGGAAGTTTCCGGGGCAGTGTGCCACCTATGTCTTCAGTGCCATCGTGTGCTCATGCCAGAACTTTGCCACCACCAAAACGTCAGCGCTACAAGGCTTCGCCCCTTTCTCTTTCATCATCAGCCACGGCTATTACGAGATCCGGTATCAGCAGTCATTCGAGGAATATCCCACTGACTGCCTCCCGGCGATCCCGTTCTCGCTCTGTGTCCACTGATTCTGTGGAAGATGTGGGGCTTGACTATGGCTCATGGAATCCCGAAACTTCTACTCCATTACAGAATTCCTACACAGATGTGGGAAGCCTTCAGTGTGAGAATGACATGGCAGTTCTTACAAATAATAACAAAAGTTGTTTGAACCGTTGTGGAAATCCTACTTGTGTCGACGATAATTGTGAGGACTTCACACAGAATGCAAGTTCAATTATTCATAACTTCAGTGGGGTGAGCAATGGTACTAAGAAAAGAGGAACGTCAGAATATTCTAATGATGAAGACTCACCATCAAAATCTTCTGGATCAAGTGGCAGTTCAGATGGATCACAGAAAGATCATAGTCGGACATGTTGCCAAAATAGGAGACAAGTGACAGATCCATCTGGAGCTTCAGATTCTTTGGATTTGGGAGACCCAGAAGTACTTCCTCTGCCCCCCCTTCCAGGCAGCACCAGTGGTGATCTTTCACTCCTGGCAGCTCAGCCCCTTCCACCCCCCAAGGACTCTGCTGGTGAGGCAATGATATCTGAAGAGACATCCGAAGATGAAAATGAGAATGTAGATGAAATGAATTCCACTTCTGATGAACACAGCTGCTCAGAGGAGGAAGAAACCACCTCATCTTCAGGAAGTTCATCTGATTTGAGGGCAGTTCCTTCAAGGGGACTGACAGAAATTGAAGATGGAGAAATAGAAAGTGCTTGCCAGAATCTGGAACAAGAAGAGGAGGAAGGGGTGGGGAGGGTAACAGAAGTGACACCGGGGCAGCAGAACAAGTTATCAGTAGGGGGAGGCCTGCAGCAGTATCACTTACTGTTGATGTCTGAGTCTGCTACAAGCACAGCCATGGACCTCAGTTGGTCTGAAGACATGCCTTCTGAATCTGATGGTTAGAACAATGCAGTCTGTGAGAGGTAATAGCAACAGTCTTTCCCCCCACCAAAGATTTTATTTTCTTTCTCTGTGTGAGTGTGGTTCCATTTGCTTAACAGCCCATATTAAGTGCACATTAAACAGTGTACTTACAAACGAACAAAATCAAATGTGGAGGCAGCTGGACAGAATTGTGAATAGAGTACACAGTTGGTCAAGCATGGAGTTTCAACATTCAGACTTACTGTACAATATACTGTAGTTGTGTGTTAGTTTTGTTACAGTGTTACACAGAAGAGAATGAAATGGATATTTATACAAGGCAAATATTGGGCATGAAGTGGTGTCTGTATGAAGCACAACCTAGAAGCAAGCAGACTGTGGTTGGGAGTGTACAGTATATTATTAGTCATTTAGAAACCACGTAAGTATCTGGAGTTTGTATTTATTGCAAGTACCAAGTTTCTGAAGTTGTAAAAACCACTAGTATAATTACGTCTTTTCACAGCTTTTTATGATATTACCAGGAACTGAATTCACAGTTATGTACATAATTAACATTTGTTGCCTGTCTGCGTGATGTCTTGGTCCCCTGCATTCAATTGTGAAGGTTCTGAGTTCAGATTTACACAGTGATGGAAGTTTTCATTTGCAGCTTGGTAAGTTCCTTGTTTGTATTTGGCCTGGTGTGCATATTGTTTCGAAAATTTATGTGCTCTACACATTTGAATACCTGAGCCATTATTGAACACTTTCAAAATATGTATGTGTATTCATTTGTTTCTTTTGTGTGTTAAATATGATACATGCCATTATTTGATAACTCACATGGTGTGATAAAGGTTGCAGCTAAACATTTCACAGTCCAGCATTTTGTGGTGCAAGCAACGTTGTCAGGTTAGACATTTTAACAATAAAAAAATATGGACTGCAAGTTTTTAGTGGTTTTGGTGGTATGTCATTGTAAGTTGTTCTAGGAGATGGCATTACTCATAACTTCGGGGTTTTACCGCTTGTTGGTAAGATGTGCAGGAGAGGAATGAGGAATTTAAAATGTTGCACAACAAATAATTGTATGCTGACCTGTCAGGTGCACCTAGCATAGGTGCAAATATTTACATCATGACCCTGAATGGATTGAGCAGCTTGTAAGACTGTTAGTATTATGTTATTGATAACTTAAGTTCACTTGCTATATTCCAGATGCAATTAGAAATGGTTAATTCTAAGATTGATTGGTAAATGTGACTGGGACTTGAAATTAAAGGTAATAATGAGCCTGACAGTGTGCACAGATAAAAATGTATAAAACTGTGCTGTGAAAGATAAATTCTGCAGTTTTTAAATGTACCAATGTAGCTAGTTTTGCTGCCAAAACTGAAGCATCATTTGTACATGGATCTTACTGATTCACAAGAATTGTGTCTCTACCCATTTCAGAACATTTAACAATTAGTTCTTATATTCATTTAAATTATTGTGAATGTTATAATAATGTAAATATATGAAGTGAAACTAATTACATTCAGTATTTTGACTGCAGGAAATGTAATTCTTAGATAAGAGTGGTAATTTTGCTGTTAATACATTTGTTATATAGCCTTTGTATCCAGTCATGTGCTTGAATCAGCTAGTTTTCATCCCTGTACAGAAGCAGACTATAGTTTGTCCTGTCAGAGTGAGTTAACTGAGAAACAGCAGTTGGTTAATTGATGCTCGTGTAAGTGTACAGGCAGCACTGGGCAAACTGCATGCAACAAATGGCTATAATGAATACATTTTATAAGATATAAGTATATAAAGCTGATTTTTACTATATATATGTATGTAAGGTTGTTAGTTTTGACACAGTTGCAGCATCTCATATTTACAAAGCAAATGGTTGCTAGTTAGATAGTGTATACCTGTGCAGCTGTCAATTTGTTTAGATTTCCACTAGTCATTAAAGTTTTGGTATTAATGATGTCTTGAGAATATCTTACTTTGCAGTGTTCTGTCTCTGTTCTTGAAGTGATTCTGTCTTATTTATTTGAGGTCTCTCTTCCTGTTACACATTTTGTTAAAACTTTTATTTCTGTATAAATTTATGTGAAGTATTATTTTTTTTGTTTATGGAGTCTGTCAGATGATTTTTGATGCAGAAATAAACATCAATTCTTGAACAACACTGTGTGAACAGTCTTGGAGTCAGCCAGTGTGAACTTTGTTTTTGTTTTCTTTGGCCGTTCGGTTACTTTGCTTCTATATACCAATGTTTCATAAGCTCATAATTGTATTCATTTTCAATGCAGTGAGATAAAGTTCCAAATTCATTGCTCATAACTAAATTAAGTCTGCGCATTCTTAGCAGATGAAATGACACATGCATGCGCACACACACACATTGAGATTTGAAGACACAAGGTGTATTTCATTTATTAAACATTAAGTCATAGTTAATATTAAAACATCACATACCAGTAACAGTAAGTTATACTGAAGAAGTTGGCTCATGTGTTAGTGATTTGGACTTGCACTTAGGAGGCACCTGGTTTGAATCTTGACAGGATATGTACTAACTTGACTCAAGTTCTTTTGTGATTTTTCTTAGTCCCTCCAGGAAAATATAAAAAGAGGTACCTTGAAATGAATCATCATGATCATCTCTGAGTCCATTCAGCTTTTCTGAACACAACCATCCTTTGATATTATTTGATGCTGTGTAACCACTGCAGTTGGTAGTTGATGACACACTGAAAAGCCGAAGATCTATTCCCTGAATTTGACTAACTGAAATTCCCGTTCATTTTTTGGCCCTTCAAATATGGTTTCAGGTCCATCTTGTGTGCCTCTGCAATGTGCTTCATTGGATATCTGGCACGTTTTTACACACATCCAGGCCTCCTTCCTCTGTCACATTTTGAACTATTTTAATATTGTTTAAATATTAATCATTTGAAGGCTTGAGGTTTAAAGTTTTATAGCAGTATGGGGGTTGTGCAGCATGTAGTGTCGAAGGTGGTTACTAACACTTTAGAGGAATTTGTTGCCTCCAGCTTTGGTTTCTCTTAGTTTGGCTGCAATATTTATTACTTTTGTGGTTGCATGAAACAAGATTTCAGCGATTTTATGGATCAGCCACGACATTCTTTCAATTGTTCCTATATACATCTGTGTTTTGTGTCCAAAATACATGAGTGGTTCAGTGTTTCTATCTGAAGAAGCCATTAATACTGTTACAAATATTTTATTATATATTCTAAAGGTATGATACAACTCTGATTATGTCTGGCTTGTGGTTTTATACTCGAACTTCTCAGATAACTTTCTTGGTACTATTCAGTGTTGTAGCACATTGAATTCCTTCATGTTAGTGACAGGCACGTAGTACAGCCCGTGCTCCCTGAAACATTATAAAAAAACAAAATTCATTCATTACATGTTATCAATCGAACAAAGCAGTCACAATGTAAAAGAACAACTTCTGGGAAGAACTTAGGGCAATGACGTTGCGTCTGGAGAAGATACAAGACTTGTATAAAATGTGCAGTTTACTGGCATTCTTGCTTGCAGCATTGGACTATTTTGTGGCATGTTACTGTCAGTGCCCTGAAGCTCTCAAACATTAGACGCTTTGCGCTCGGAGTCCATGTTAATAATTTTCCGTTCATAAATAGAATGCTTCATAGGAACATGTGTTAGCATGTTTCATAGTCCCATCTTCATACGGAATTATACCAACAATGTTAACCAGAAAGCTGAATGAATAACACTATATTTTGAGGTAGTGAAAACATAATCACAATTTGAATTTTAAAATTCTGTAGCCTTGAACATTTATGAGCCTGGCTTACTTTAACCTGCACTGCTGTTGTCAAGTCAGTTTCATACGATTGCTGGGTTGGTGTCTCCCCTGTGAGCGAATATCCAATATTTCTGTTCTCAGACATTCGTGTTGAGGTTCTGAGGCACGCTTATGTTCGTGATGTATAGACATAAAGGCATTCATTCATTATCTCAGTTGGTTACTGTTTACTCTTTTTGAGTTGAAGTGGCTCCATGGGTCGGCCAGTTCCAGCTTGTACTGCAGGATGTCCCCCTCCCAGGGGCAGCACCTTGCTGGGGCCCACTCAGCCCCCACAAGTCCACCTGTCAGCGTCATGTGAATGACGAGTAGTTCAGTGGTGTAACTATCACGAGGGTACAAAGAGAAGCCCCAAGCATCTCCCTCAATCTGTTATGCTCCCCCCCTCCAGGATGCTTCACTATATTCCCCTCCAGTCATTTAGCACGATGTTGGTAATGATGGCCTCCGGTGGCAACAGACACTTAGGTTGGTTAACAGAGGCCAATGTGTTGCTGGAGACAGAGTGGGATGTCTTGAACATTGTCAGCCCCACAATCCATGGGGCTTCTCTCCATGGCCTATATATGGAAAAAGTCAAAAGAACCGAAGCCTTGGACAAAAGCTGGTTGATAATGTCTTTAAAACGTGTGGTGTGAGTATTCAGCTGGCATACAATTATGTTTCTTGCTGGCTCTTGTGAACGCGGTAATGAACTGTCGGATTCCATAAATGGTGGAGGATACATTCATTAGATTCTCAAGGAGGGTTGTTCCATACAGTTACCTCAATGAATGCAGTGAATGCGTTGACCCTATATCATTAAGTTTTTTCTTCCAAAAGTGAAGATTAAAATTCAATTGTATGAGTGTGAAACCTAGTCTTTCATGCTGGGGGAAGAATAGGGGACAGAGGGGAATATTTAAAGGTAAGACATACGACTGGAGAAATCCACGTTATGAAGAGCATCAAAACTTGTACTCCTCGCCAAATATTTGTCCATACGAGAGAGAATGAAAAGATGGACGGTCATGCAGAACATGTCAGTGATCATAAACGTACTCTAAATATACATAGAAAAGCATAAAGGAAGGGACAACACTGGGAGATCTATACATAGGTGAGAAGAATCAAATGTATCTGAAATAAGTTGGCGTGACGGCATAGACTCGTTCATCTGTCTGAAGTCAGGACCCAACAGCGAGCGGGCTGTTGTGAACACGGCAGTGAAGTTACGGTTTTCATAAAACGTGCGTAATTTCTTAGCTGGTTGATCCACTATTAGCTTCTCAAGAAGGAATCTGCTCCGTTGAGGCACACGTTCATCTGTCCGGCACTGTCAGATCAGTGTCACTTTTGATGAACAAAAGCAGTGGAAGTCTCATCGGCTACTAGACTGAACTAAGCCCGTGCGTGGGTCGGCGTTGAGCTGACAGTGCCCCTTCAGTTTGACTGCATCTCAGTCCGGTGACAGTGGGTGGTGCTAGAATTGTGACCAACAAACTTCGTATTTCATTGGAGCCCACCAGAACTCCCCTACGCGATGTCATGCCGAAGCTTCAACAGTTTCGTATTTCTTTTCAGCGTCTGTGTTGGATTGTTCTTCTGAAGAAACGTTTATTTGCACCACTTTTGTCATTTTCCTGTGGGCAAAATTCTGGAACCAAGGAACAAGCTGGGAGATCTCCAGACTTTAATGACAGGTCCTTTCAGGAGTGTAATATGTAGACCATGAATGCGTAGTCTTTCTCTTGCCGCCATTGCTTCAAAACTATACATTCAAAACACATACTTCAAGAAACTTCGCTCCATTCGTAATTCTGCTGTTCAGAATCGATCAAAGATTTGCGGAGAGAGAGACAGACAAACCTGCTTTCCCACATGGCATATACAGACATGTACACATACACAGAGGCAAAAACAGAGAACATAGTAGAAACGTGAGTAATTTTTACGGCAGAAATATCTGCAATATTTGCTGCAGTCGCCATGAAAACAGTACGAAGGAACATTTTATTTGATTAGTCGTTTGCGACGGGATTTCTGAGTGACTCAGACTGCGTAGCGACTAATATTGGGAAAATCAGTTAATATAATGAATTCGGAGGGACGTGGAAGTCCTCACAGCAGCCTGATGAGGCTGGCGGAAACTACGATAAGCTTCAATGACGATGGCGGTTGTCCCAACCTAGATTCAAACCGGTAACAAATGAGAAGAGTAACCGCTCGCGGCAACTCACCTGGATAGGAGAACAAGTCAACACGTCTGGCTTCTGTCTCTGCGCTTCAACACGTCATTTTGCAAGACTGACGAACTTTGGTTACTGTGATGTAGAGCAGTGTTGTACTTACTCAAACTCTATGGCGTCTCCCATTCTTGCTTTTGCCGGGCCCGCGCAGGTCTCAGACTCCGCCTCTTCGAGACTCTGACATAGCACCGCCGGGTACGCGTCCTCCACTCTGATCGACTGCGTGAAGTACTGGTGGGACCTCGAGTGGCTGCACTCGCCTGAAACAAGACAGTTCACAGCTTCCTAATGCTAATGTCCCTTGTCGAGACACCAGTGAGTCCCTATATGCAACAGAAATCATGAAAATAATACATTTTCCTTGTTTTAGGAGGCAAATGCTTTGCTATAATCCTGCCGGCCTCATTTGGTGCTGGCTTCTGGCACATTTTTCCGTCAAGATGATGCTGTCTGATAGTTTAAACGACTTAATTGATTCATTTGCCTCGACAACTCAGTTTTGTAGGATGTATGAATGTATAAGAATGTAAGGGCCTTCTTGGCCCTTGCACCGCGACCACAGTGATCTATTGTGCCTACTTTGTAGGATGTAACACGGTGTAGTTTGCTAAACAGAATACAATCCTTCGGAGGAACTTCCTGCCTCCAGTTTCACGCTGAAAACATGGCTTCATATCTAGGAAGACTAATATTTGTACTCGCCATTATGACAATCGTGAATCTTACGACATGTACTGCGGAAGCTGCGCACCCATGGATGAGATGTCAAGCCGGGAGAATGAGGCAGTGACATATTTTAGGGGACTAGAGGAAGAGGCAATGATACTAAAGGGGACTACAGGAAGAGACGGAAACCTGTTCGAGGGGACTAGAGGAAGAGGCAGTGACATTCGAGGAGACTACAGGAAGAGGCAGAAGCACGTTTCAGCGTACTATGGGAAAGGACAGTCTGGTCACACAGCCATGAATGCATCGAGTGGGATTCGAATCCACGACCCCAGTGTTCGAACGGGCGAAGACAGTTCATGCAGCAGACCGCGCGGCCACTCTGATCGGTAGTGAAGCAGTAAATTACTCATTACTGCGCTTCCGCGCCGGTGTCCACACAGCGTAGCATGTACTCACCCGTGATCTCACCGTCGCATCCTGGTTGCGGGCTGTCCCCACCGTTCGGGAAAAAGTCCACGTGACCGTAGGGCTCCCTGAAGCCTACAGAGCCACCGCATGTATGGATAGTGTCCACCAGGATAGCGTCGCCAGCGTCCAAGCGACCAGCAGGTTCCGCATTGCCGAACAACGGGTAGGCCGCGTCCAGACCTGCACACGGAACTCTGCTTATGTGGGAAAGGTGGGACCGATGAGCAGTGTTGCTACTCTACGTACAAGGTTTAGCTTCATTTGGACATTCCATGAGGAATATACCACTCCGTCCGCAAGACTTGGGAACGACTGACTGGTGTGAACGCCATCACTTTCGAACTTTTTTTTTATTTCATAACTGTATGGCTGAGATGCGAGCGACACTAGCACAACAGAATTGAAGGTCCTGTAACTTCTTGCGGTACTGTGTCTTTCAGAAATGTGGCAACGTGACGTCAGTAACAGGTGCATCGTTGCAGCATGCAATATTCTTAAATCAAAAATATTTGTTTTAAGATGCAAGATTTCCTTTATATTAACAATTACGAACATGGCGACGATGCGAAATTCAGACGTTTGTTGAACACATTCAACATGTAGAAATCGTTGGGGGTAGAAAGAGGTCAATAGTAATATAATCATTGTTTTAGCGCTCGTGGAGACTGCAGGCCGTAGACTTAAGAATTTGAATGGACACAGTTGCCGATAATCTTATTGTGTTCTGGTGTTCTGGAGGCTCGCGGGGCGGCCGCCATGCTACTTCTATCGCACAGCATTCTCATACTTATTTGATAAATTGTCCTGCAGCTACTCATTACAGTTACATGTAGATGGACACAGGGATCTCCTGCCCCTCTGGGGGGGGGCCTCAGGGTGTAGAGAGGTGATGCTGCAAGAGTGGAATAAAGTGGAGAATCTAACTGGCCATGATTGTTATTAATGTTTATGTTTCTGTAATCTTCTAATGCATGCGACGTGGACCGCGGAGGGTAACACTCCAAAGCAGAATGAGAGAACAGTTGCCTATGTATGTGTTGCAGCATGCAGACCCGTTTTAAAGCAGTGTCCACAATCCCGAATGTTTATACTCGGACACACGTATTTCTGAATACAGGTTATACGAGGTATTTTCAGCAAGTAAATTAGAGCCGTGAGTATAAGATATCTCTCCATTATTTCTTCAACTCTCCATGGCATGGCCTTCAAAGTGCGTGTACTTATTTAACGATGCTGTAAAGCTCCACCTCTTACTTAGCATTGTAACCGTTCATCATAATTTGGTGGACTATTTTGTATTAATTAAATCTATGTTAAGTTAATATCACGTAAATACAAAAAGAATCCGGCAGATAGCCAACTCTTACACGCAGAAGTGACATAGTTCAAGTTTTGCTATGTGGACAGGAAGTAACATCTCGTACATTTCCTGGAATTCTGGCAGTTTCAGCAGAGTCGGAAAGTCTGAGAATTTGAGAGCTGACCGCTTGGAACAGCTATAACTTAGAAGTGGGAGGGCCGGAGCCTCATCCCCCGATCGTAATGCATCAAGTTGCTGTCAACCTTAGCGTCAGGTCAGCAACTGGCAGAATGACATAGCAGAGCAACCTGATTGGAAAATCACAAATTTAGGGAACCTCCTAGTTTGAAAACTTAACCAATGGCAAAAGTGGAGGAGTGGATTTCTCTTGGAGTCTGGGGTTCGTGGACTTCGTGGACCTCAGGATTCAGAGAGAGTGCATTCCACCTCAAGGAGTCTTCATCCAACTTTCGGCCAAGTCAAACACAAAATACAACTACGTCCCTTCAGTAAAAGTATTATAAGTTAAAATCCAAATAAGTGTTACTAGTAGTTTCCGTTGTATTCAGTGAGCGGAAGTGAATTAAATAATTACTAAGTGCAAAAGTCTGAAGTGGTGTATGTGATTGTAGTGCAAAGTTCTTCCTACCCTGCGTGAGTCAGGCCCGTATAAGACGCCGGGATAAGAACTCTTCCCTACCCATTACAGAGCAGAACCCAGCTACTCCCGTCTTTCCCTACTTGCGAGACACCTAATGGTAGTACAGGAAACGAACTCCCGCCTACCAGCACCAACAACGACAATTCCTCCCTTCCCGCCTAACGTCTCGCCATCTACGAGAAGTGGGAGGAGGGCAGTAACTCCAGCGGACGCGTCCAGACACGAGATGCAGGTGAGCCGCAGCACCGGAAAGGAAGGGATACAGGCCAAGAACTCTCGCCATCCACGAGAAGAGAGAGGAGGGCAGTAACTCCAGCGGACGCGTCCAGACACGACGTGCAGGTGAGCCGCAGCACCGGAAGGAAGGGATACAGGCCAAGAACTCTCGCCATCCACGAGAAGAGAGAGGAGGGCAGTAACTCCAGCGGACGCGTCCAGACACGACGTGCAGGTGAGCCGCAGCACCGGAAGGAAGGGATACAGGCCAAGAACTCTCGCCATCCACGAGAAGAGAGAGGAGGGCAGTAACTCCAGCGGACGCGTCCAGACACGACGTGCAGGTGAGCCGCAGCACCGGAAGGAAGGGATACAGGCCAAGAACTCTCGCCATCCACGAGAAGAGAGAGGAGGGCAGTAACTCCAGCGGACGCGTCCAGACACGACGTGCAGGTGAGCCGCAGCACCGGAAGGAAGGGATACAGGCCAAGAACTCTCGCCATCCACGAGAAGAGAGAGGAGGGCAGTAACTCCAGCGGACGCGTCCAGACACGACGTGCAGGTGAGCCGCAGCACCGGAAGGAAGGGATACAGGCCAAGAACTCTCGCCATCCACGAGAAGAGAGAGGAGGGCAGTAACTCCAGCGGACGCGTCCAGACACGAGGTGCAGGTGAGCCGCAGCACCGGAAAGGAAGGGATACAGGTAAAGAACTAACAAGTGACGAAAACTCGGGCAAAAGGCAGTCATAAGTGTTGCCGAACGTAAGGGGCCCAACAAAGTGAGCGGTGAGAAGTGGAGCTCAACGTAAGGGCAGTTAAAAGGACGGTGATAGCATCGAATGGTGTGGAAGGATGGTTCGGGTGTAGGCGACGATGGCTACATTGAAGACATGGGCAGCAGAGAGTGGCGACTAACCTGCTCGAAACGAGGACTGGGGCAAGGCCTACCTGTAATCCTGGCAACCTTGCCCGTAATGGTGCTGTTGCCTGCGAAACCCGCGACCTGGGCGCCCAAGCTGTGGCCTATGATGTGGACATCCTGCAGCCGGGCGCCCGCCTCTGCCACGAGGAACTCCACCAGTTGCGCTGTCAGTTCTCCTGTCAAAACAGCGTTCCGAGCAGCAGCGATGTAGTTGGGGGATGGACACAGGACGGACCAGTCCACGCCAATGATGTTGTAATTTCCCTTGGCCAGGTAGGCTGCAATACATGACAACAATGTTTGTATAGTCCCTGTACAGGATGCAGTGTCTTCCCGTGTGACGGGAGGTGGGGTTCCCGCAGAGAGGAATATTGACATGGCGGTCTACAAGGGCGTGACACCGTGTGAGACCATAAGGAGGAACGGCCTTCTGAAGGAACCTGTTGTTCCCATCTTTATATTGTCACGTGAATCAGTGACTATAAGCGAGATTTTGGATTGGAGATTGGGTTTAGTGACCGCTGAAACAAACGACTCGTGACTACACTTAATTATAGCACGATCGGTGACTTCAGAACTTTATAGATTACTACAGCATACGCCAAATCTTTTCAGTCTGCTGTCACTAGTCGTTTTCCGGTTACGGATCTTGACAAGGGAGATTCTTCAACTGCATCGACTAAGTCTTCCCTTCACAGACTCCTTTGAAAGTGACTACTGACTTACTAGTAAACTTGTCTCGGCAAGGACAGCGTAGAAAACACCTTTTATTCTTGTGCTCGAAGGTTTCCGTGGCAACTCATTTCTTTGCGAAGGCTTTGTCCAGTAACGGCTCTGGTGTATTTGCGTATCTTGTAGTCGTCGCCTAGTAACAGATGTTCCGTCGTTTGTTTCAGGGTCGTTACCCAGTAACGGTCAACGCGCTACAATATTATAAGGGGAAAGCCTCGATGTGTTTAAAGAGACCCAAGCCGTTCATGACATGCATCAAGTGCGCTCCCAGACACATGGAGACTACTCACAACCACTCCGAACCACGGATACTTGCAAAGTCCACTTAACATCAGTTTTTCCTTCTATCATCTGTGAACCGATTGTCTGGACAATGTAGCAGCCTCGACGTCTCACGATCCAGTGCCAAATATTTGGACAGCCACCTTATTGAGCTTTCTTATAGGAAGTGATCACAAAGTCCAAAAGTAGAATGACATTTAGTGGCATGATATTAATGCCAGATTTAATAAAAACCCGTCTCTTAGTAGAGAGGTTAATGTGGGAAAGGAGGAAAGACACAGGAACATGTTAATACATCGAGGCCGAAAGCCAGTACGCAAGAGAACTGAACAGTGAACGAATCTTTAAGATATAGAACAATTTTTATGACAGAATTTCCTGTAGAAGAAATTCCGAGTAAAATTTGTCAGATACAACATCTAAATATAATTGTTTCGAATGATGTTGTATTCCAGAAAGATGGCCTATTTTTTCTGGGGTATCCCCAAAGACCAGGTTTTTGAGACACAGCATTTGGGAAACCGGATTCGTTACCGTCATCACACGTAAGGTAGTAATATTTCCTACTCATCTGGGCCCTTTAGAAAGATCTGGTCTCGATCACTGAACTCGTACAGAGGTCATCAGCCTTATGTACTTCTGACTGCCTCGTCGTCACTAAGCCAGCGTGAAATGTTGAGCTGTCGTGAAAGTAACATCACTTAATTTTGGACTCTGAAATATTCTATGGCTAGAAATCTATGAAAAGTACGCATGCTTGTTGGCTAATATTTCGTCTAATGCTAACCAACATGGTGATCATGCGAAATGTAATTTAACTTCTGGGCAAAATGCGAGTACGACAAGTTGCCCAACAGGCCAACGTGAAATTGTGTACGAAGAGAGATTGCAGACGCTACTGCTCTGAGATTAAGCGCTGACATCTATTTCAGCAGAGCTCTTCAACGTTCCATCAGGGGGCACTTTATAATCGCAACGCCAATACCGTACCTACCATCTTTGCTGTTAATAATGTTTGCACTGTCGCCGTCACCTGCGAAGCCATGGACCAGTATTTTCGTTGGGATCGTGGGATCAAATCCGGATTTCCGCAGGTTTTCGGTGTCATTGACCCGCAGTGTATACGGTGTGGAGGCGCCTCTTGAGCTGGAGCAAACACAAAGACCGAAGAGTGTACACATGCGCAGTGAGAGATCTGAAAATCAGCTGAACGCAAGTCTGTCTGCGCACAGCGGGAGCCAGGTGCGGACAGAAATGGAGAATACATGGCGAATTTCATTGTTCTCATTGAGCAGAAAATTAGAGAATTACAGACTAAAGTGGAATTGATTCGACGACCTGAGGAAGGCAGAAAGCGCAATATTCATTTTAACTTAAAACTTTATCATCGGATATATTACATACTTAATTCTAAATTTTAAAGCGATTGACAGTTGCCTCCATCATATCCACAGTGTACCAACTTGTATGACCTGATGATGGTCGCGGGTTGGCCCGAAACACGTTGCATAGTACAGCTGAATACACAGTGGTAGTGTGGATGGTTGAAAGTTTGCTATATGAATTGCGTAGAAAGAGGGAAACAGTTGAATACTGAACTAGCATAGCTAGAAGATTTTCAAGACGCGGAATTGAATTTAAATAAAAATCTGCAATAGATTTGTGTAATACAGACAAATGTCCACGAATAACCCTATGCAGTCGGAGTTTATTACGGACCAATGTGTCTGAAAAAGAAAGAGAAAGGATTGTCTACCGACGTTCAAATGAAAGTTTTCGGCTTCGAATAATAGGCAAAACTGCGAACGGCTTTATGGCCCTGAGATGACCTCCACTTGACACAGGTTGCTACAGCTACAGGGGTCGACAAGACCATGCGGCTTGCAACTCTAAAGCCCGTTAATGTGTAACGAGCATTGAGATCTACTCACTTCGTGTACAGATTGAATATTACATCATCAGCTATGTCTCTGGCGTCTCTGGTGACCGGCGGTGACGTTTCGGCGAAGATGGCGAGATGGGACACTCCTTCGTCGCCTGGTATCATCATCCACGGTATTCCCGCGAAGTAGTGAACACCCTCAGGCTGGTGGATGTCAGCTGGCAAGAAGCTGATCGTGGTGCCCCTGCCTGCGGACATCGCAGTATATGCAACTGTCAGGAACTCAGACGGCTCAGTGTCGGATGGCAAGATGATAACGGGAGTGGAAACCCACCAGTGTGTCGACCGGAACCGGCCTCCGAGCTACGGCACGGCTCAGTCAGACGGTCTATGTAAGGGCGGGTTCCTCTACACTACATTCGAAAGCTAAACAGGTTTACAGATATCACTAAGTATTTTCCGCATATGTTAGGCATGTTGCCATGCATAATGTGTGGCGCTGATGTCGTCCCCACCTCCTAAGTTCGTGCGTCCGGCATGTTGCTCTTACCAGCTGGAGGATACTGGGCTTCCTTCAATGGCACAAGTCGCGACAAGATCTCGTACCATCGCTGGACGAAAGGAAGAGGCCGTTGTTGGACAGCGGACACTAATTTGGAAAAGTGTGAACAGCGCGGCCTGGATGTTAGTCAGTCGATAAGGAGATAACACAAAAGCCGAGAGTTTGGCTATGCGGGAAGCACCCAGTTTTTCATGGGCGACCATTTCTTACCCCTTGCGCCCAAAAGTTGATTTTGATGCCTAAATCCTTTGGGATAGTCGTTTTCTTGTCATCTCTGTCTCAACCATTGTATAAATGTTTTGAAAACAATTAAGCTACAGCAAAATTGTTTAGAAAATATCAGGGGGACCTGCATTTCCTTGCACACCCAGGTTAATGAACACTGCTCAGGTTCTTGTAGCATTATGCATGTTACTGAAGTAAGGCCATCAGCTTGGTGCGCTCCTTACTTAATTTCAGAAGTAAATAGATGAAAGAAATGAAGAGTCTTACCGTTTGCCGTGGCCAGAAGGGCGGCCGCCAGTAGAACGCAGCTGTACTTGCCCGACATCGTTGAACTGCTTGCAGTCTCGTGGGACCACTCCGCGTTTTATATACACCCTATTATGTTCGTAAAACGCAAATAATTATTGATATTAGTATGATGCAATTATATTTATCTGTATTTGATATGTTAAATAAGTAGTGCATTGATTCCGCAATCAATGCTAGCGGCACCCACCGCCTCTCTGACTACACAATTAATGTCATAGATAAAAGAGTGCCAGGAGATATTCTGCTGCTGTTTTTTTTTTTGCAACTGTGAAGTCATGGGGAATTTACAGAATGTTGCCGTAAGCAGAGAGCAGTGGTGTGAGTCAATGCCCAGAGAACCCAGCTCTGTGTGTTACTTAGCCGAAAGTTTAACACCCCTAACACGAGAAGGTGTCCCGCCACTGAACACGATCCTGAGCCTGTTCTTTCTAACTCACACCATCACTCTCTCTCTTACTGAGATTACTTGCAGTGTTATCCTCCCATTTCTTTCTCGTTCTTCCAAGTTCCGTTTTTTCAACAAGTTCCTCACCAGAATTCCATATGAACAACTTGCCGAGCCCATCGTAACCCCCTTCCCCCTTATATTTCAGCCCCGGAATTGTCACTTCTCGCCTTGTTTGCACAAGGCACGTGAAACACAGGCGTAACGCGGGGAATGGCCCCTGCGTTTGCAAGTGCCATGTGCTTACCAGCAGACGAACTTGTTTCAATTTGCAATTCGGTGCCTGTAACGTTCTGCGTGATTTGACATTGCCGAAAGCTGTGGGCATTGAAGGGGACAGGAGGAAATCCGTTTGCTGCCTCTCGTCTGCAACAGTGGAACATAGCGGCACGGACTGTCGGTGTGCACTCGTTACTCTTTCCATTGTTGGAGGTAATAAATAGTTGGATGAGGAAGGGAGACTGACTTTGTATGTTATTACACCTCACCATCACTGCCTTCAATTGTATATTTAGTGACATACCGCGTAAATGTGCCGTGAGGATGTCATGACTTTCGCTTTTCTCTCATGTGCGGGCGCGGGTGCGCCTTCCCACTTGATTCGTAATCACGCTACGATAGCATGGGAGCATCACGTCACCTCTCCAGATATCACGCAACTTTACATGTTCGGCTAATCAAGTCCCAGATATTCCACTTTCACCTTGACTCAGTCAGCTACCGAAATGTGTAGGCGGTTGCAGAGCACCGTCTTTCCTTAACCAGTACAAGACAATGGAAAATGTCCAATATTAGTCAGTTTAATATCCGAAAACTTCAACGAAATATTTGATTACTTGTGTTGTTTATGTCCACGTCATCACAGTTCAGTTTTGAATTGCAGGATGATTAATGAATAATGAATTGTAAGTGATGAGAGGGAAGCGGCCATGGTCTAATTTGAGGCAGTCTTCCTGTACAGTACAGGAACTGACAAAAACCTCGAGACTCTTCAAACAGGATAGCTGATCTCTTCGCCGACATTCCCGGCGCCTTCCCACCGCTACGTTCAGTGACTCTGTACACCTCCCGTGCGAGCGTTCAGCGCTGTCCGTCTGGAAACAATACTGGCCGACAGTTACATTATAAGCTTCCTAGGAGGGTTGCCGACCTCGCTGCTTCTTTCCACCACGGAACACACACTGACCGCTGTATACCTAGTCCAGGGTTTAAAATAACGATGTAGCTTCCCAGATGGGGCTCTCTATCTCACAAGCAGTCGGAACCAGGGGCCTTGAAATCGCGGAGCGACTGTACCTCACGCGAACAGTGTTGTTTTGGGCGTCGCAGACCTGTAGTGGTTTCATTGTTCACAGAATTATATGCAGTCCAATCACAGACCAACCAGTGGATTCGGGACATCACAATACACTATAAGTGTGATTTCTCAAACTGTCAGTCTTGTGACTTTGACTTTGACTCTGAGAATTCAGTTGAGTTCTCGGTGGATGACAGCCACGGTAAGTTCGTCGCGTGTGAGCAGAAGACTTTATTCACGTGTAGCATTTGAAGTGGTTTGAAGCGCTAGTTCCTTTGTTTTAATTGCATTTCAGGAGAGGACTTGTGTGTGTGTGTGTGTGTGTGTGTGTGTAACAGTGAATTGCGAAGTGTGGAACCAGAGATAGCGCTGTAATTAAATGTGCTTAAGAGAGATTGTAACCAAGGTGCCAGTAAATCCAATCAACCAATCTAGAACCCGTCATTCTCGTCGCGGGTACCACCCATCACGTGAGTCTATTGTCACCAATTGTAGCGAGTTTATGGCTGCGTTGCTAGTTGTCCCGTATTTACTGTGTAACCACTGCTGAAGAATCCAAAACTCTCCGAGCTGCCAACTTCTGACACCAAATATATCACGTGTAGGGAGGGTACGCGTGACGAAATGACGGGTTCTAGTTCGGATGACTGGATTTAGTAGCACCTGGTTACACACTTCCTCTCTCTATTATATTTAAATACAGTGCTCTAGCTGATTTACACACACGCTCAGTTCACCGTTTCGTCTCTACTAGTGGACTCCTAGCAGCGGATCTCAGTACAGAAACTGTCACTTCAAATCACTACAGATATTACATATGAAATCTTCCAGTCACATTTTACATCCTCACAGGGCGACCTCCTGTATTCTTCTGTATTCTTTGTTCCACTTCTCTTGCTTCCGCCACTAGTTCCACTCAAAGTCAAAGTCACATTGCGACTGACGGTCAGTCAGTCAGTAAGTCTTGGTGTCGAGCCCCATCTGGGGCTCATGACCAGATATTTATTACTGCTTGACCGTTACGGTCTTGTTTATTGGGGCGCCCTCTCTGACGAGAAGACGGGTCTGTCTTTTATATATGCTGCTGGCCCTTGACAGCGCAGTCTTTCTCGGGTCCTAGTCCCTTAGGACTTGCGACTATATTTTACTGTCTCCCATTTGAGACTTCCCTTTTCGTCTCCTCCCACGACTCGCAGGGCCACGGCGGAGGTACTCGACCCCGCCTCCACACGGAGGTACTGAGTTCCCCTCCAAGTCCAAGTCACATTGCGACTGACGGTCAGTCAGTCAGTAAGTCTTGGTATCGAGCACCCTCCTGGGGCTCATGACCAGATATTTATTGCTCCTCGACTGTTACCGTCTTGTTTCTGTGGGGCGCCCTCTATGACGAGAGGACTGGTCTGTCTTTTGCATATGCTGCTGGACCTTGACAGCGCAGTGTTTCTCGGGTCCTAGTCCCTTAGGACTTGCGACTATATTTTACTGTCTCCCATTTGAGACTTCCCTTTTCGTCTCCTCCCACGACTCGCAGGGCCACGGCGGAGGTACTCGACCCCGCCTCCACACGGGGTTATTGAGTTCCACTCGGTGAATCGGTCTCGTCACGTATCCTCGAATCGGACAGCTCGGAAAACGCAGCTCGTCCTTATTGTTGCGCGGAAGGGATATTTACCAACCGTTGCATAGCAACGGTCTCGGTGAAGGGATGTGACGTCACTTGCGGAAACGCAGAGGTCACGTGAACCCTACTCACTGTTGCGCAATCCAAGCTTTCACAGAGCTGTCGCCTAGCAACGCGCCGATACAATCCGCAACTCTCCCGTTGCATGCGTGCCCCGAGGCCTCTGTGGCTCAACAGTTCCTGCATAGAGCAAATACTACACAATATTGTAGCTTCAGCCTGTTATCGCATCGCGAAATTCGATTGTGTTCGAGCTTTGAGATTCTCTGTCTTCTGGGATGTGAGGCCAAGTAGTTTGGTAAATAGATGCCACAATTTTGGAGAAACGTGTTGCGTCTATCTTCAGGGAGAAAATTACTTCACAGCCGAAGAAGACTGATCGTCAGTCATGAGAAAATCAGTCCTCACACAATAATAATCTCTGGGTACTGCACGCAACGTCCCCATATCTGAGTCCCTCGTTTTCTTCCATGATGATGGAGGCAGCATGGCCCTCCGAAAGGTTTGTAACTTGCAACACTGTGTGTTGCTTGATGACCAGGACTGTGCTACGTGCTTTATCAGACACACACTTGTGATATTTTGTTTCTTATCAGCGACCAACGCCAGTGATCAGGCGATTTTTATCTGCATGTGAGTGGCGTGGCCGTCTGATCTGAAGTGGGGCAGACATGAGACACCGGTAAACTTAGTTTCCTTGGTCCGGTAGCCAGTCCAAACGGCGTAATAATGGCTGGGAAATGATAAGGAGGGAAGTGGTCGTGACGTAGAGTACTGGGTGTTTATATTGGGGGGGGGGCTGTATCCCCCCAAACACTGACACTATCGCTGCATGCATCCCAAAGTCACATTGCGACTGACGGTCAGTCAGTCTGTTTGTCTTGGTGTCGAACCCCAGCAGGGGCTGATGATCAGATGTTTCTTTTGATGTGAAAGTACTGTCCTGTCCATGTGGGGCGCCCTTTCTGACGAGAGGTCGGGTCTGTCATTTGTCAGTCATAGTCTGTATCAGTAAGTACACAGTCAGTATTTAAATATATTTACAATTTACTCTTAATTCCTACTTCTTTGTACAATATATACAAGGCCTCTGTCAATCCAGACTCAGTACAGCAGATTATGCCGCATTTCTGGTAGTATTCGCTACCACGGCAGTCTAGTCACTTGACCGGTCGAATGCCTGACTGCCTCCAAGTTTAAGCCTCTTATACTTTCTGTGTCGGGCTTCGCCTTGTCCGATGTTGCGAACATTCTCATTATCATGATTTTATATGACTTCTGTTTGTTGCTTGCATAATTTTGTTATATGGTCATATACGTACGGGATTTTGAATGCCATGTGCAAATCGCGGGGCGGTGTGCGCCTCGGAAAATTGCCAGTGGTGCGGAGAACCTTGTTTTGCAGGCGCTGCAATTTCACTAGACAGGTGTCTGCCGCAAACTCTCAGACGGACTGACATAAGTCATTACGGATCAAATGAGAGCCTTGTGGAGGGTCAGCTTAATGTTAGCGCTTAATCACTCACTTCTGAATAGGGAATACACGTACTCTAATGAATGTCCTAAAGGCCTTGGCTTCGATCATTTCTATGTACGTACAATCTCCATGCCACTCTCTTATCGAAGATTACACCTAGATATTTTGCACTATTTACAAATGGAACATTTCGTCCATTTAGAGGAAGACAAGACTCAGGCGGTCGACGGCTACGAGAGAACTAGACCCCCCCGAGTCTTATCTTCATTAATTTTAATATTCAAGCCCTCATATCAGGTCTCAATTGAGCTGAGACCGCGCTGGAGTTTTCTAACAACAAAACCCTCCTTCCGATCTGTCGCATACAGACAGGTGTCGTCCGCAAAGAGGGCCAGGTGAATACCATGTATTTGGGGTCGTCATTAATATACAAATTGAAAAGAGTAGGGGACAGGACTGAATCTTGTGGCACCCTTGCTTGCATTTTCCTTGGCGTTGACATTTCGCCTTCAGCCGAAACCCTGAATTTACGTTGAGCATGCATCTCCGGCGTTGTTCGGGCTCTTTAAGGGCCTTGTCTTTAGGTAGATACAAAATTCACCAGTCTCAGGGCCTCTCAATATCCATCGAAGAGCCAAAAGTCACCGATCCGTGCGCATAGTGCCGTCTTCTCTCGGAATCCTGACAGCGGGATATCCCATTCTCCGAGCAACCTTAACCAAGCTCCAGCCGAGCCCTCAGCGTCCCTCGGAGGAGGTCTCTTCTGCTCGTTTGGCAGTTCAGGCTACTGACACCCAGCAAGAGGCCCGCGAGAGCTGACGGCATGTAATTTGAGGCACTATCCGGGTGGGGGGGGTGTTGAGATTTGAAACTGGAGCTTCTCAAATACCAAACCGGAGAGCGCCGCCTGCTGGGTCTCGACATGCAGCCCCTAACAGACCCTGCAGACCATTCTGTGTGCCCTGACACATTGGCCTTATTGGTGTGCAATAAACAAGAAGTTGCGAGAAGAACTCTCCTATGATGCTCAAATCAAGTTTCGTCAGAGTCGGTGGACTGGTTCGGTAGTTTGTGAGGGGGAATGTAAGAAAACATGGTAAGCTCATAAACATATTAATAATCGAATAGGTCCGTTTGGAATTTTGATGAGTGTTTGTTAAAGTCACCTTCCGCCTTTCCTCTGTTACCACGCGGGAACTCGAGGACCGCTGAAGAAGTTTCCCGCAAAATTTTATATTGGAGAATTTCACAGAATCGTGTCTACATTAACTGGGGAGTGGCCCAAGGACTTTATAGAAGTTACAATGATTGCCTTAAAGAAAAAGACAAAAGCTACAAAATGCAGCGACTATCGCACAATAAGCCTTATTGCACATACAGCAAAGATAATAGCAAAGATACTTAAAAGAAGAATTGAAAGGAAAATAGAGGATGTACTTGGAGAAGATCAGTTTGGATTTAGAAGAGGAAAAGGAACCAGGGATGCAATTGGGATGATGAGAATTATAGCGGAACGAACTTTGGAGATAGATGAAGAACTGTGTGTTTGCTTCATAGACTGGCAGAAGGCATTTGACCGGGTAAACTGGACCAAATTAATGCAGATCCTAAAGGAAACAGGTATCGATTGGCGTGAAAGAAGATTGATTAGCAAATTGTACATGGATCAGAAAGTTAGAGTACGACTGGACAGAGGGGAGACAAGAAGCGTGCAGATTGTAAGAGGAGTTCGACAAGGATGCTGTTTATTACCAATTCTGTTCAACTTGTACAGCGAATGCCTTACCAAGGAAGCTCTGGATGGGCTCGGAGACTTCAAAGTAGGAGGGCAAATTATTCAAACTGTGAAATATGCAGATGACCTTGTGTTAATGGCTAAGGAAGAAACTGTGCTACAGGGCATGATTGATAGACTAATTGAAATTGGAAGGTGCTATGGCATGGAAATGAATGTGGAGAAAACAAAAGTAATGAAAATTTCGAGACAACCAACCCCAGTCACAATAAAGATAGACCAAAAACAACTGGAGAATGTGAAATGTTTTAAATATTTGGGTAGCTTGTTAACAGATGATGGAAGGTGTACTTGTGAAATTAAATCCAGGATTGCCATGGCAAAAGCTGCATTTAGCAAGAAGAAGAATCTTTTTACCAGCAAATTGGACTTAAATTTGAGGAAGAAACTAGTGAAATGCTACATTTGGAGCATAGCTCTGTATGGGGCTGAAACATGGACACTTAGGGCAGTAGATCAGAAACATCTGGAAAGTTTCGAAATGTGGTGTTGGAGAAGGATGGAGAAGATCAGTTGGACCGATTATGTGAGAAATGAAGAAGTGTTAATTAGAGTCAGTGAGCAGAGGAATATCCTACACGAAGTAAGAGAACGGAAGGCTAATTGGATTGGTCATATCTTACGCAGAAACTGCCTTCTAAAAGAAGTTATCGAAGGAAAGATAGAGGAGCGGATAGAAGTGACAAGAAGACGAGGAAGAAGACGTAAGAAGATACTGGATGACCTTGGGGACAGAAGAGGATACTGTCATTTGAAGGAGAAAGCTCTAGATCGCATTAAGTGGAGGAATTGTTTTGGAAGAGACTGTGGACCTGTCGTCTTGACAGATTACTGATGATGATGATGATGTGTCTACATATTGCTATTTGGAACAGAATCCGGCATTAGGCTTTTCTGCACCTATCTCGATAAAGATCGTGAACGAGAAAGCTATCGGCATGCACATCCCACGGCCAGAAGTGTTTCTAGATGTATGAACAAAAGAGACGGTATGAACGAGTAAACTGCATGGCCTCTATGTTTGAGACTTACGAACTGGACTTTATATACGCACCATTATTGAAGCATCAACACTGATTTTGCGAACACACGAGAAGATTAGCGAAGTCTCTTCTTCTTGAAGCTTCGTCCCGGCTGAAAATGCATATACGTATTTCAATAACCTTATTAATTTTTGGCCTCCTTCGCCGTCTACATGAAAGCAAATGATTTGATTTTTACAGCAAGACATCCTAATTAAAATGGGGGAAAGAAATTCTTGATTTAGTTTACGTTGCATTCAAACGCGATTCGTTTTATGGAGCATATACTAACAAGTTATGTATACTGTAGAATATGATATTTTGTGTTGTGACAGTGTGTAGTATGGACAGAGCCCGCAGTTTTGAAGGAATTTATGTCCTCCATGTTCAGGATTCAAAAACAGTACACGCACGACGAGAGCATACGCAGCCTCAACTGAGGCCCTCTCCGAAATACGCGGTTGAGTCATCTGTGACATCCGGCTCTGGTTCTGAATTTGGCTTTTCGCCTTGCGTATTTTATTCCGTGCCATCCAGCCAGCTCCGATTCCAGTTCCCTCCCTCTTGTTTGCGGCTTGGTTATGTAACTTTGGCGTGACGTGAGCTTTCCAGTCGTCTCCAGTCACCATACTGTTTCTGCTGTTTCTGCCTTAGGATGTAGCTGTTTTGCTGTGAATGTGAGGTTGTCTCTCTTTCTCGTCTTTCTTGCTGTCCTGAAGCAATGCAAGTAACATGGGTATGAATTTAGTTCGGATTTTGCTGATCCATGAAGCATGTGTAAATGAAGTTTGGTATTTGTCTAGTGAGTTATTCTGGCAGCAAAAGAACCTTCGCCATGCAAGTGTGTGTATCTCAAGGTAAGTCTTCATTCTTGTGTAATTTGTGTTTGTAGTTCTTCGTGAGATAGGCCTTGATGGTTCTATACACTGACCATTCCGTGGTGTGTTTGTGCGTATCTTACGATACGGGTACGGTACGTATAAGGCAAGAGTTCCCCCCTCCCCCACGAGACCTACGTCATATTTGCTTTCAGACAAGCCGTATAGTTCTGTGACTTAGTGTGCCACGTTTTTTTGTTTTATAAAGTGCGGATGAAGACAGCTATTTTTGTTCTTTGTTTAACACATCACGAGAATCTGCGTGTCACATCCGTCAAGTTCACTAGTGTTGTCGCAGTTCTTGCAAATCTCTTTAACCGTGTTAGATCAGAATGACGGAACCTTGGTCATTTTAAACAGTTCTTGAGCAATGTGGAAACTGAAAATGAAATGTACTGTATAGAAGTGCGCTGGTGAGTCGAATGCTTAAACGTGTCTGCAATTCAAGGTTGGAAATTTATGGTTATGAAAAGAAAGTCTTTTCCGTAAATTACTGGTAATGATTGGATTTGCGATTTTGATTTCTGCGCTGATATCACACAAAACGTAAATGAATTTAACAGGAATGTGTAAGGAAGGAACCAACTCATCAGCGAAGTATTTGCCAAATTAATGGCACCCGAGAGTAAGCTTCGCCTCTAAGAAATCTTTTTACTGTCAAATAATATGGCACACTTACCAGATCTAAGAACGGAAAAGCCAACAGACGCTAAGAAATATGATAAAAAAATGTAGATTATAGAACAGTAATTCAGATCTCTATTTCAAGATGTGCGAAAAGAAGAGGCAGCTTTTAGTTTATTTTCAACACCATTTGACGTAGTGTCGAAACTGCTCTAGGCAAACTTAAATAGGAGATCATAGGTTTACAGTACGAAGGCATTTCACCTGCACTACAGGTGACATGAGTTTTCGGAAGCACATAGTAGAACCTCGCTTAACGAGCACCTCTCATAACGAGTAATTGTAAAAAAAAAAGAAGAAGAAGAAGAAGAAGAAAGAAGACTCTCTTAACGAGCGACGTTTCGCATAACGAGTGACGAAAGGGGAAGTCCCGGATTGTGCGCTTGCTTCATCAGTCTGTGTTTGACACTCGTTCCGCTAGCATCTTAGTGTCGCTTGTGACCACACATTTTTCCAAACTTGTGTTCAGACATATTATTTGTGATTTTTTCGTGCAACGTTCAGTAACCCTTGCAGAAATGTTCCCAAAAAAAAGCCTCAAAAAGACAGCCATAAGAGAATAAAAATAACTGTAGAAATGAAAAGTAAAATCATTGAAAAGCGAGAACGAGGTGTGAGCGTGGCTGATCTAGCATGCACATACAGTCGGTCTACATCAACGATTTGCACCATCCTCAAGAACAAGAACAAGACTAAGGAGACAGATGCTTCAAAGGGAGTGACAAGAATATCTACACAACGGTTACGTATTCTCGACGAAGTTGAAAGGTTGCTCCTCACATGGATAAACGAAAAGCAATTACAAGGCGACACTATTAACGAGAACATCATTTGTGAGAAAGCGAAAGTTATTTTCTCCGACCTCGTTAAGAAGGCGCCAGGATAATCAACGGCCGAAGAAGAAGCATTTAAGGGAAGCCGTGGGTGGTTCGAGAAGTTTAAGAGAAGAACCGGCATCCACAGCGTTGTAAGGCACGGTGAAGCAGCAAGCTCCGACACAAAGGCAGCAGAGAACTTCATCGGCGACTTCAAGAAGCTCGTAGATTCTGAGGGTTACCTGCCGCAACAGGTTTTTAATTCTGACGAGACGGAGGTAACAGCAAAGCAACAATCTTCTGGCGCAATAAGACAAATGCTGAAAACATTGGAAACTGTTGCATCGTACATTGAGAAGCATCACCCTAATAAGGCAGTGGTTATGCGCGCTACAAATTTTGAAGCGTCGGTAAAAACAAGTGTCTCCAGACAGCTTTCTAGTAAAAAAAGAATTAGATATGTATCATAAATAATAAACAAATTATTTCGATTTTTTTTTTTGTTTTCTGCAAATCGAATTCGCATTCCAGGTTGGTTCATTCCGCATAGAAGAAAAGATGAAGATAATTCACGCTTCTTAACACTGTATATATAATTTTCTTTGGATAAACGTTACACATAATTTTTTTTTAGTATTTTTTCAGCATGGAACGCATTATCATATTTTACGTTAATTTATATGGGAAAAATTGTTTCGCATTACGAGTAAGATTCTGGAAACGTATATATATATATATATGAAATGTNGAAATGAAGAAGTGTTAATTAGAGTCAGTGAGCAGAGGAATATCCTACACGAAATAAGAAAACGGAAGGCTAATTGGATTGGTCATATCTTACGCAGAAACTGCCTTCTAAAAGAAGTTATCGAAGGAAAGATAGAGGAGCGGATAGAAGTGACAAGAAGACGAGGAAGAAGACGTAAGAAGATACTGGATGACCTTGGGGACAGAAGATGATACTGTCATTTGAAGGAGAAAGCTCTAGATCGCATTAAGTGGAGGAATTGTTTTGGAAGAGACTGTGGACCTGTCGTCTTGACAGATTACTGATGATGATGATATATGTGAGCCGTTCTTTTCAAAGATGTTACTATTATGAGGGATACACCCCAAAACCAATTACGATAATAAAGCTCTCTCCATATTTTGCTTCTCGAGTATGCCCAGATATTAATATCTTACGTCCAAAACGCGTCCCAATTTGCTCATTGAATTCTTCAATTCAGTAATGCGGGTGATCTGATTTGTAAGAAAATGCATTCTTTTCCGTGGAACTCCATAAATAAAGTAATGGAGAAAGAGTTTCTCTTGTGGTTTAGAATGCGACCAGTAAGCCTTTTTTATTTTTCCGCATTTGACCCTCGACGTAAGCTGAATGCTGTTAATCACTGCAGTAGCACTGGGAAATAAATAGGAACTAGCCGTACGCAGCACATCACACCTTTCAAACAGATCTTCGAGGTTACTGTTTAAATGTCAATGCATTTTGTTTATTTGGTCCATTTCAACTTATGCGTCCGTTTATGACACAGCAAATGGGTTAACTTGTGTCCAATCATTGCTTTACCATAGCAAGACGCCCTTATTTTGGTTGGTTTTCAAGTCTCTTTGTTATTGCTTCAGCAGATCGAATCATGTATCCGGAAACAGTTTGGGCCATTTCGAGATGGCGATTTAACCTCCGCTAAATTCTTTCCTCATCTTTCACGTAGTTGTGACTTGATCTGGAATAGCAGCAGTGTTATTGCCTAAATATGCATGGCTTAAATGGCCATTTAATATGACAAAGCTCTAAATTTTACTGTTTTGTATAAACAATTTTATTCATGTATTAGAAAACAAGAATTGGCATCTTTAGAATTGCATATACAGTAAATATGCCATTTAGATATTAATATATATTTCTTTTAATTTTCATAGATTTCTCTGGCCGCTCTCTAGTAACATATTCGTAACTCGTTAATCTCTTGACAGTTTAGACAGATATTGAGTATTCAGGAACAAGAGCGCTGTAACGGATGTGATGAAGGCGTTGCAGGTAGCAGCTCTGTAAACACGGTACATTACGCAACAATAGAGGAGGCTCTGTTTCAGTGAACGAATATTTATAGGTCGTTGATAGGCAACAGTCAGTGGGCCAGTGGACTGGCGATGTAACTATCACGTGACTCCTTTTCTCTGTGGTCTTCCTTATGCAACAGTGGAACTGGACTTCTGTGTGGTCCGTGCCGCGGCTATATAACGAGAACTGAGCCCACCATGTGGAGGAGGGGTCGAATGCCTCCACCGTGACCCTGCGAGTTGTAGGAGGCGACGAAAAAAGAAGTCTCAAATCTGAGGCAGTAAAATATGGTCTGCACTGGCAAGGGCCAGGAGCATACAAAGACAGACCCTTCCTCATAAGAGAGGGCGCCCCACAAAAACAAGACCGTAACTGTCAAACAGTAATAAATATCTGTTGGGGCTCGAAACCAAGACTGACTGCTGACCGTCAGTCGCAATGTGACTTTGACTAAGTTCAGAGCGAATTATAACTACGACTAGAATTGAGTTCTGAGTTCTCGGTAGTAGACAGTCACGAGAAGTTCGTGTTTGAAGAAGAGTTAACTTTGTGTGTGCTATAGTGCATTGGGATTGGGAGTGTGTAATTTAGTGAGACTTTTACAGTTCCCGTATTATAAGTCCGTTGCCAAGAAACAGACAGTGAAGGCTAGTGGAAGTAGACTGAGAAGATTAGTTTAGTGTTTGTAAATTGTGTAAATCAGCAAGGGTGTAATAATTATTTGTAGTTACGACGTGTAAGTTGTTAATAAATCCAATTGCTAATCTTAGTCACTCTGACACATGACAGTATCAGAAATTGAATTCACTAAGTTTTCGAGCAGATTAAAATACAGGATCGCCCGCACCATTCAGTGCGGCATCTTCGTGTCTTCCCATCTTCTACCTTAAATCGAAACGACTGACAGAAGCTGTTGTTTTGTACGGATATGAAACTTGATTTCTTATGTTAAGGGATGAGCATAGACTGAGTGCTTGTACAAAGCAGATAACTTCCAGTCCAGTATGACATACGGGTTTACAACACTTCAGTCTTTATTCGCCTTACATGTTTCGATTCAAAAGAATCATCTTCAGAGGCGCACCACTTGTATTGCGATACTTTGAGTACTGACACCGTGTTGTCTGTTATGTGGAGAAAAACACTTCATCTTGAGGTCTTAAAGAGAGCCCCAATACCCAATGAGGACGTAACACCCTGAGCTGCAGCTGCATGAGACATCCGTGCCAGGTGTTCGCTGTCGCAAGCATTTCTGAATGTCAGGTGACTGAGTGCGTCTATGCTACAGCAAGACTGGCCAAGGATGTCTCCGCGTCAGCAAGTGCCCCTGGATTTGTTAAATGTTGTTCTCCAGCAACGAACTCTGGCCAACAGGTCAAGCGAACGGCACTAGTGAACTTTATTTCTTTACTTATTTACTTACTTAAGGTATATTTAACATTGCTTCCCGCGTCTGAGACTATATGTAATTGGAAAACAGAACCCTTAATTAATAAAGTCCGTGGCCTAAATTGAGGTATGAGCGTGGCATTTGCCAGAAGGCACAGAGGGGAACCACTAGGAGCGTCAGTGATCCGGCCGAGAGTCGCACTATCAAGTCCATGAATCTTGAAGCAGTGGATCCCGTGCAAAAGGAGCTCAGCTCAGTTCCTGAATGAGAATTCGTACGATTCCGTCGAACTCTGCACAAATCCGGACGTCCTTTCCGGACGGCTTACCTTGAAAGAACTTCGTGTCCCCCCTCATAAACACTAACAACAACGAGGCCACAAACGGAACACAAATCAGTGTTATTTTTCACGTTTCCATGGTAACGGAGTGAGTTCCGGTTATTCTTCTATGTCTACGGCGTTTCCACCAAGAAACCTATGTCTTTCTTCGCACCGCGGATCGTCTTCTGGCGACAGGACCCACCTGCCTAGAGCGAACGGCTTCTTCGCGGCTGTAGTCACCAAGTAAAACCCGCGGGAGCTGCAAACAGGGCAAAACACATGTATTTCCAGGGCACAGTTCTAATTTTAGAAGCTGCTGCTTGGTATAAAACCGAAGGTTCATTTCCTCGTTCACACAATCCCTATCCTGAGCCAGATCAATGCAGTCCATATTAGGCCAAAATATTAACTTTAGATTCATTTTAATATTATTCTCCAGTATACTCCACGGTCTCCAAAATGATTTCTTTCCTTCAGTATTTTCGGCGTATGTACATAAGCTCATTTCTCCCACGGGTGCTACATGACCTGCTCATCTCATCCTTATTTCTTTGGTCGTCCTATGGATGTCAGATTAGTACAGATTGTGAAGGTCCTCGTTACGTGATTTTCTCCAAAATCCTGTTGACTCCTCCCCCTTGGATGTTAATATACCCCTCAGCATCGCGCTACCTTCAAGCACCATACAAAATATGTACCCCTCGAATAAAATGGTAGGTCAGATTTCACGCTACACAAAGCAACAAGGAAAACTAAATTATTTCTGTAAATATTTACATATATGTATGCGTAATCTGGGAGGACATGATTTCCTGGCCCGAGTGGCAGCAACCACTTCCCGCTTTTAATGTATTCATAATTTCCTCGCGAGTGCAATTATAGTTTATCACTGCCATTCTCGAGTATTTTGGGCACGTTTTCAGATATCAGATTTCTTATATGACGACTTTCGCCTCTGGCGTCGTGACGAGACGGGGCAAGTGTCTCAGTATTGGTGGAGGATGTGTCAAGATATAAATGTTTCTCCCAGGTTCAAATATCACACGTTCTACGTTTTATATCTGTTTGTGACCTCTTTACTGACTCTCTCGTAATGCAGTTAACCTGAGCAATGGTGTAGTTGCTTCCATTATCATTAAACTATTTCCAACGAATCCTGCAGCTACTTTATAACAATTTCAGCCTTAAGTGTCCCTGTAATATTGTATCAGTTTTGAATTGTGCTAGTACACATTGAACACTCACTTGATCGGAGCGCTCTCGCCCATTATGACAGCTGGGTACCTTGGTGGACAGAGACCCAGAAGAAAACGGAAGAACCCGGGACATTGCCAGCCCCAGAAGCCAGCGTGGGATGTGATGGATTCCGCAAAATATGCCGGAGCTCGGTGATGATTGCACCCAATCGGATCTGCGGAGGAAAGACAGGTCTAGCCGTAAGGTGTTTTGCTACGCTTTGGTGTGGAGGGAACATGACAGCGACCATATCTGCATTCTGTTCTTTATTTTTAATAACTTAATGTGACCTATAGACCAATTGTTATACAACGACTCGGTAAACATTCCCACGGAAGCGTATGCTCGCGACAACGGGACATCCATTGCTAGGCAACGGATCAGTAAACAAGTCTTCTCAACAATAGAGAGGCTGTGTTTTCTGTGTAGTCCGTGGCGAAGGGTTATTGAGGGGCAAAGAAGGTCGTTTGAGTTAGTTGTCGAGATTTAGTCGAGTTCTGGAGATGGAGGTCGAAGGAGATTGCAAAGAAAGGGCAAGAAATGAATTAGACTGTGTAGAGAAGACTTAATGTTTGATTTATAGTTAACAGTGAGGTGGTTTTAAATCCTTTGACAGGATACAACTAGTGAAGACTGAAAATCTAGTGCGTGTCTAGCAGTGAAACTGTCTAGTGCGTAGGTCAGCGATAGCGCTGTGTTACCTATAGTCCCTAGTTGTGAATGTGTAAGGTGCAGTACATCCAATCCAAACCCCTCTTATAAGTCAAGCACAAACCCTTAAATTGTGGGAAAATAGAGACTTTCCATTCGCATTCATATTATGGTATTTTGTGTCATGACACTATGTAAGTGTTACCGACGTTTCAGAGTAACCAGTGGTTTCGTATCCCGTCCTTAACTGCAAGTTGGTACCCAGCTGCCAGATCACGTGGTGTCAGAATCCAGAAGGCTACAACAAGAGTGTCCCTTTCAGTGCCATGCAACAAGTAACATCTCTGAGTATCAGATTCTACAGTTGTGGTGAAAAATTCGCTTCTTCACAACGCTCACTCAGCATGAAGATTCATTTCGCCGAATTTGAGGTTCTCACAGAGGTGAATATCAAGATGTGACCCCATGTTGTCTGGTAGTAGTCCGCTGACGTATGGGAGTACGTACTGCCTCCATCTTGAGGGTCAAAGGGTGAGACAGGGAAGAAAACATCAGGATGCTTAATTCACTATTCCGCCCTGAAAATAGAGGCAATATATTCTTCTGAAATTGCCGTAGACTTCTACCGGACCGTAATGGCGTTACATCCCGGAAGAGACTACCTTCAGTTTACCGCACACGCTTGGGAGGATCGGCAACTGATTGCTTTTGTCGTGAAGTCTCAGTCGCTGGGTTAAATCATTTTGGTATTCCGAACTTTGAACTGCTATTACAGTAGACTGATTCCCTTCAGAAAATCTGCACAATTCCTTGTGACACTGGAGCCAGAAGGACGAAACTACTGGATACTTTAAAAGGCAATGGATGACCTTTGTTCCTTACGTATTTCAAGAAAGTAACTCTTCAGTGCATGGCAGTGTTTATTCTGTGTGTGCGTGCGGGTGCGCGCGTGCTGTACGTACAGCTCTTCTGTACGCCGAAGGAGATCAACACCCTAACGCGATAATTCGAGGTTATGATCTAGTAGACAAGTTTCAACAAGCCCACTACTGCTACTTTTCATCGTCTCTCCAGAATTACCTTCACTCGCCGGTAATGCACTTCTTCCTGGTCCTAAGTGCTGCAGCTGCAGCCTCCACATATACACAGCCCATTGGCCGAGGCTCGTTGTGAATTTTGTTTTGATAATATTGAAAAATGCGCCGATACATAGAACACTATACCGTATCTCACGGAAGTAAAGACACTAGTGTCGATTAGTTAGGTAGGCCGCACACCGGCATGCGTCAAGACGTGTAACAGTCAAGACACGATGTCTGCGACATGACGCAAAGAAAGGAGCATATTTGAAACGAATGAGATTATGTAAACCGCCGCACACCGGTCTGATTCATGATGCTGACGTCAGCTTGATGCTGACAAATCACGAATGAAGCAAGACTGCGTGCTCGTATTTTGTCTCATGTCTTGATGCTTGTCTCGACGCAGTTGGTGTGCGGCCGGCCATACAGTCTCACGTGAAACACTGTGTTCTACAAAATGTATTTAATTTAAAATTTTAAAAGTCCATCACTACGTGTTTCGACAAGTGTTGTCATCAACAGGTGTTAAAATTTTTGGCCCGGAAACTGCTGTCTCCCGTTGTTAAATACATAGATCCTCTTGATGCGCATATGTGTTTCATTTGGTGGGTTGTGTTCTGTGCTGCGTGTTTTGTTCTCGAAGTGTTCAGAAATGACGCTGGAAGTGTTCTGCGTTGTTCTGAGCACACTCATGAACCCTCCTGGCCATGTTTCGGCAGACACGTATGAGAGTTTCCGTCGCGATATGCGGCTGAGAACATTTCAACAGAGTTTGCTCCGAAACCGCACCCTGTCATTCTCACTGCTTCTGTAAGTATACGCTCGGAAATAAGCAGCGAACTTTCCTCCGATTCCCCAAATCCTCGTGTCTGAAGTACGAGTATGTCAAGACCTTACTGGATTCGCTCCAGCAGCCTGGCTGGTTGATCCCTCCGTTCACATAGAAGTCCACGTCGCCACTAGCCTCTATCTTTCCTTGGACTAAGGCGTTCGTGTGGATGATGTCCACGAAAGCAGCGTCGCTGGCGTCTAGTTTCTGATCCCTGTTGACGGTCACGAAGAAAGGCATGGCTGGGTCTAACCCTGAAACAGGAGAAGAATCTGTAGTCTTTAGCCTGAATGTCATAACAAGCGGCAGTGTGATTGGCTTTAAAATATGTGGACACTAAACCTGATCTTCCCACTGACATTCTTAAGAAAGTATTTCAATAACCGATTGCAATATTTATAATAATCTGAAATTGAATTTTTTGTGGAGACTGGTTATAGAGGAAGCCAAGGCTCGCCCAGGGCTGTAGCACCAAATGATGAGTAGGTAGGTAGATAGGAAGGAAGGAAGGAAGGAAGGAAGGAAGTTGAAATTTACCCCAGAGTTGGATCCATGGACCAGATGGTGATGCGATGTATAATTTAAAACTCATCAAGATATGCAACTAAATACATTATCTCCCTGGAAATATTTCATTCAGAGAACAACGAAAAATAATTGGGACAACGGGTCTACAGCGATAAATAGCCTAAATGTAAGTATTCGGGAGAACAGTCACTAGAAGAGGAATTGAAGAAATGTTCAACAGATATAAGCAATTGAGATAACTGACCCAGATCGATAAGTAATTCGGAAAATTGCCCCAGAAGTGGAAACTGCGGAAAAATTGTGGTTTATGTTTTGGTTCCTTTACGCAATCGAGAAGGGAACACGTTTTGAAGTGTCACTAAGGATGTTAGCAGAGTATTCATTGCAAAGTCTATCACGTGAGCCCCCAGACGTGTTGCACACCTGTGATTCGGTGCAGTTAGTAAGGCCGCAGACAGTTCGCTGAGAAGCCTGTCACGTGAGCCCCTAGACATAATACACACACACCTGTGATTCGGGGCAGTTTGTAAGGCCGCAGACTGTTGGCTGCGAAGCCTGTCACGTGAGCCCCTAGACATAATACACACACACCTGTGATTCGGGGCAGTTTGTAAGGCCGCAGACAGTTCGCTGAGAAGCCTGTCACGTGAGCCCCTAGACATAATGCACACACACCTGTGATTCGGGGCAGTTTGTAAGGCCGCAGAGCATTCGCCGCGAAGCCTGCCACATGAGCTCCGAGGCTGAAGCCCACCAGATGGATGTTGGACGTTCCGTCCAGTCGGAGAGTGTCCACCAACTGAGCGATGCATTTGCCTGCGAACCTAGTGTTGTACACGGCGCTGGGGTAGCAGGGACCTGGGCTCAGCCGCGACCAGTCCACCGCAATTATGTTGTGCTCCCCTTTGTCCAAATACGCTGCAAAGTTAATGAAATGTAAATGGCTCGCCACGTAAACCTTCCGGGCCCGGAAGGCACAGAGAGAGGGGACCAGAAAGCAGAGTGGGTGAAGAAATAGGATAAGGAGGGTGAGGAGGAAGGAAGAGGAGTAATATGATAAAGGATGGGATGGAAGAGAGCGAGAGGATATAAATAAAGGGATAAGGAGAAAATGAGAATGATATTGAGGATAAAGAAAACGGCTTGTGTTTGGAAAGAATACCTGGAATCATGGTTTGAATTCCGCTTCGTTTCCCGTGTAGCTGTTTGTGCGCGTTATTCTGCATGCGCTGCGATGACAAGTAACATTGTGTCGAGCTGATCCCCCTCACAGGGGCCTAGTTGTGCTAGTCCCTGTCCCAGACCGAGCCCGAGCACCATCCGTTAATATTAATGAGGCCAGAAGCTTCAGCGGATGTCACGCCTGCTATGTAACTTGGAGGTATCGGGTTCTAATACCGCCGGGAGACCGGCCATCCTCACTGTCCTGTCTGTTTGTCTGAATTTCCTCAGCCCTTCAGGAAAATGTCGAAATATAACCTCAAATTAGGCCACGACCGCTTCCTTCCCTAATGCTTTTCAATTAATGTCTCTCAGCAATCTATACGTTCTGAGTTAGTAAAAGCATCAGTAAAAGTAAACCGCAAATAAACAAGTAAATTGGCAAGTGCGTGGGAGATCCTGAGAAAACTGCAGTGACTGTGAACAGCACGCCGAGTAGTTCGGATACAGCTCTGTGTTTCGGAGGAATATATCGCCTCCTTCTGCTGAGCGTCAGACGCAGAATATGTTGACATTTGTAGCCCTAATGCTGTTTAGAGCTGCTGATAGCGGTCCCAAGAGCGCCTCACCTCTGCGTATGTCCACAAGAACGTCGAGGTCCATACCAGAGTTGTACCCGTGGATGATGAATTTGGTTGGGTGGGAGGAGTTGAAGCCGGATAGCGCCACGTCTGACAGTCCGATGGGCTGCGCCTCAGTCAGATGAGACCTGAAATAACATCGAATTTGTTGTATTATTGTCCTTCAACGGAGGAAGAGAAATTTCTTCTTTAGTGTGGCATTCTGACTTGTGTGTCATGGAGGGGGGGGTGGCATTTTCCGACTGTCGGTAACGTCGAGTGGTCGGACGATTGATAAATAATGAATTGGAAGGGATTTGGATGGAAGCGATTGTGAACGAATCTCGGTACTATCTGGGAATTTTGCTGGAAGGACTGAAGAAAACCACTAAAGAACGGTGTCCCGGCACCTCCCGGAAGGTTAGAGATGTGCTAATCTACACAGGCAGAACGCTCTGCACCCGTCTACAGAGTTGATGTCAAGAACCCAGGAAACCACAACATGAATATTCACCGCCACGAAAACCTAAAAGCCTATGTAAGAAAGTGTTTATTATAAACACGAGCAGTAAGATACTTGTACTTCGTGTAGTACAGTTTTCCAGACAGTCATAACCGTCATAATGCTTCTTTCCGTTTGCTTCTCTCTTCACTTATTGCGAGGTCCCACAGGCCTGATAGCCTGCACTGCGGCGAAAGGAGGGGACGGATGAGGAACAGATTAAAGAAGAGGAAGAGGAAGAGAAGGAAGAGGAGGAAGAAGGAAAACAACAAATAATTCTCTTAGGGCCAAAATTCTGCTCTATCTGTGACTCTGCTGACCGGCTCGATTCTCTGTCGGGACACAGACCAATCTCACGGCGGCTTTCCTCACTCCTTCCAAGTAATTGCCGTGATACTCCTTGAAAGTAGGCCACATCCCTTACACCCATTATTCAGTATTCCTCGTAGCATTCGAGTAAGCACATATAAATATACGTTCCCTTGAAAAAATACCACATTTTGGGATGTGACGTCATGTAGTCCTATATAATTCACCGACGTTTCGGAGGAACATACTGTCTCCACCTCCAGGACTGAAGAGTACGTATGTAAGTGGTGGGCCATAAAAACAGGCACCCGCATTGCAGCCTTCAATGATCTCTTGTTCTTAGGACTTAAGAGTAGCCCGAGCAAACTGCGAGCTGCCTGTGCCCTGAAGATGGAGGCAGTGTACTCCTCCGAAACTTCGGTGAACTACCGGACTACACGGTGTCACATCCGAGTAGATAGTTGTGTTCGTAGTGACCGCTGTGAGAACATCAAATCTAATTTTTTCTTCTTGCTTCATTTGGCCTTACCGACCACGTGCTGAACTCTTGTGGTGACGCTGAGCAGCGTACAGGCTTGTTGACTGCAATGCCAGTATTGAGCATATGCACGTATTTCATCCACTATACAAGAAACCTAAGAGGAAATTGCATCAGAATCTGATATAGCCTGTTATCATGTACGCGTATATGCTTGATTCCCCTTTAGAGGACAGTCTCGCTCAACGTGCACTGCCGTAATTCCTGGCTCACAGATTTCCAGTCCAAAACTGTCATCTGTGGGCTCTGCTGCTGTTTGGAATGGATTCAGAATAAACCGGTACGCATGGAGATAAAGAAAACACATGTAAAGTTGCCCCTGTGCTTAATTAATTATGCACCACGCTATAAAGTCGTGTGACGTGTAGCTCCAACACACTCGACCTTGGCACTAGATGTATGTAAGTGGTTCGTTTCACACGCCGTCTGTTCTTTCCCGGGGACAGACTTCCCGTTACCCACTGCATAATATTATGGATGGGTCCCAGAGCCAGTTCGGACTCTGTGGAGAAGAGAACAATCTCTTGCCCTTGGCGGGAATCGAAATTCAACCGTCCAGCTCATATCCCGTCGCTATACCGACTGAGCTATTGCGGCCTTTACACTTGTACACGTAACTAACTCATTCACTCAGCTACTTCAGAACATCCCAGCAATTTATGGAACCCGAAGGTTCATTACCGTGCTAACTGGTTCCTATTCTTAACCATACCACCCCATTCTATTTCTCTAAGATCCATTTTAATTTTATCCTACCACCTATGTTTAGGTCTCCCTGATGGTCTACTTCCTTCTGGCTTTCACATCAAACCCTGTATGCATCACACTTGTACACATGGCAGATTGTATTGTGGTCTGCTTTTCCGAAGTTCCTTTCCGTGGGATACTGCTTGACGGAGTACCAAGCGCAATATTTTGAGAATATTATGGGAAGCAAAGTGGTTCCTTCTCTTACCATATTAAGATTAACGTACTGGTATATGACCTGTTTCATTAGTTTTAGCTTTTCATGAATCTCGGCGCTTTCTCAATGTGGCGTATAGTCGAAGGACTGAGTAGAACTACGGAAAATGTCCGTCATCCTAGCTGATCTGCGGGCAGACTTTCGAACCCCGGTCAGTCTGCCCGTGATACGAGTGGGCCTCGCCCACAGGAAGTAATAGTTACGTCACCTGGTGTACAGATAGAACCGAACATCTGGGTCGGGGCATGTCCCCTCAATCACCAGCCTGCAGCGTCCGAGGGTCAGCTCTTGGTTGCGGTACGGAGCGAGCTCAGTCGAGCCATGGCATCCACTAGTAGCGCCTGGGTACAATCAAGACAAGATTAGAGTGAGCAGCGGCTCCAACAAGCAGAGTTTTTCTTGTTGCGGTGACTTAGATAAGTTCTGGTCCAAGCTGGCTAGAGCGTGTTACGTTACATTACCCTCATTATGACGAACCTGGATATAGCGAACAAAATCTGGTTATAAACAATTGTGAATTTTTACAGACTTTAAGGCGCTAAGAAAGTTTTGTGATTATAAAAGTATTTAAAATAAAAAAGAACCACAGCATACAAACTTTATATTGTTACATAGTATGGAATGTTAATATAGACGAAGTTTGGATTAGTAACTGGATTTATTGACCAGTTAATACGTTCACAACTCGTGACTACAGTTTACAGATCACTGACACATACAGGCTAGTGTCCTCAGTCAGTCAACGGATTTTAACACTGGAATTATAACAGTCTCACTGAATTACACGCTCCAGATATTACACATAAATTCTTCTCTTCACAGCCGCACTCTTGCAAGTCACTAGTTGCAAAGTCAAAGTCAAGTCAAAGTCATTGCGACTGACGGTCAGTCAGTGAGTGAGTAAGTCTTGGTGTCGAGCCCTATCTGGGGGGTCATGACCAGATATTTATTACTATTTGACAGTTACGCCCTCTCTGACGAGAAGACGGGTCTGTCTTTTGTATATGCTGCTGGCGCTTTGCCAGCGCAGTCTTTTTCGGGTCCGGGTCCCTTAGGACTCGCGACCATATTTTACTGTCTCAGATTTGAGACTGCCCTTTTCGTCGCCTCCTCCTATTAGTCCGTTATAACGAGATTTAAGGATTTTCTCCGTTGTCTTGTGTTCTGAAGAAGCACAACTCTTCGGAAACTGTGCAGGCGTCACTGTCCGGTGATCGCAATGACCGTCACACATGACAGAAGAACCTGACAGGCGCGGCGCGCTCGGCAGAAAGAATTATAAATTGAATTACTGAGATTGTCATACACTTTTCCCTTGAAAATGCGGAGTGAACAGTTCGCTGTTGGTTACTGGGTATTCACATTGGCGGGAAGTCAGGGTCAAGGCTTCACTGTTCATAGCTGTTACAAACGCTGGAAGTGATAAACCGTTCAACATATGCGTCAGAGCTTGTAAGCAAAGGGGTAAACCAGATCCGATTTTGACCCCTTTTCTAAACGCAATAAGCGCTTTCTTTTGTTTGTTATTAATTGTGACTTTGTTGAAGGGGCAGTTGTTGGTTGTTGCAAATGAACGTTCGGAAGTATGTATTTGTGTTCTAAGTTTCTTTTAGGGCTACCTTTTGCTGTCCTAATCCGAACGACCTTCCCCCTCCCCACTTCATTCCGAATGTGGGGGGGGGGGTTAACTGTAGATTCTAAATTTTTCTGACTATGGTTATAACAGTCAGAATTACTGGTGTTTGGACTTCACACCGGACGGTGAACAGAGTCCAAAACTTAGTAATTCTGAACGTTCGGAAGTTTATGAATAGCATCACTTTTTAAAATTATGTCGAAAAAATATATTCGACATAAAAGTGTATCATTTACTTGCTTGCTGGAAACAAGTTTTGACTGTTGGAATTACAGCTGAGCCTCATTAACTAGCCTGTCTTTGTAATTTGGACGGAGCATGTTTTCTATGAAGTATGAAATGAATTTTCGAACTTTGTACACATATATTTCCGTCTCAAATGCAACTTATTGTCTTGTCCCACTCCATATTTCGGCCATACACGGCCATCATCAGGTGCATATGTCTTGCCAAAGCAGTACCTCCGTATGTTAAAATTGCATATCGCGTGTGAAGGCCATCAGGTGCATATGTCTTGCCAAAACTGTACCACCGTATGTTAAAATTGCATATCGCGTGTGAAGGCCATCAGGTGCATATGTCTTGCCAAAACTGTACCGTATGTTAAAATTGCATATCGCGTGTGAAGGCGCTGTTGATTATATATTAAAATATAAAATGTGATCCTCCTTGGCTTAATCATTCTAATTACACTTGGAGAAGAGTACAAGTTATGAAGCTCCTCATTATGCAGTTTTCTCCGACTTCCTGTCACTTCATATCTATTCGGTCAAAATATCCCCAGCACCCTGTTCTCAAACACCCTCAGTCTGTGTTTCTCCCCTAATGTCAGAGACCAAGTTTCACAACCATACAGAACCACAGGCGAAATTATAGTTTTGTACATATATTCTAATTTTGATGTTTTTAGACAGCAGACGAGAAGACAAAAGGTTATGGACTGAATGGAAGCAAGCATTACCCGAGTTCAATCTCCTCTTAATTTCCACCTCAAGGTTTTGAGTTGTTATAGTCGTTCCAAAATATCTGAATTGTGCCACATTTTCAAAACATCAGTTAACTATTATTTGTCATGATTTTGCCAGAATATTGGTTACGAGACAGCAACATATACTTCGTTTTCTCTGTGTTTACTTCTAGACCAACCTTTTTACTTGCGTCAATTAAATTTCTGTGTTTTCTTTATGGTATCTATATTATCGCCCAGTAGATTCACATCATCAACATAGAACAGTAGCTGAAGTATCCCATTTAATTTCAGTCCCACCTGGTTTTCCTGGACTTTCCTAACAGCATACTCTAAAGCGACGTTAAAAAGCAGTTGCGTTAAAGCATCTACCTGTTTTAGACCATTCCGGATAGAAAACTTATCAGACAAATATTTACCCATACGGACATCACACTACGTTTCGTTTAAACGCAGTTTAATCAGCTTAACTAGTTTCATGGGTACCCCAAACTGTATCAGAATATTGTACAATACTTCCCTCCTAACTGAATTATATGCTTTCTTGAAGTCTACAAATAGCTGATGTACTGTCTCATTGTATGTACTCCCATTCTTTCTCCAATATCTGACGAATGCAAAAGATTTGATCTGTAGTTGATCTGTTACGTCTAAACCCACACTGATGATCCCCAATAATTTCATCTATATATGGACTTAAGAAGATTGCTTGTAATGACAGAATTATTGCTCTGAAGTTAAAGGCGGAACCGGTAGATATACTGATTATACAAGTGTACATGCCAACATCAGAGTATGAAGATGATGAAGTGGAAAAAGTGTATGACACAATTGAAGAAATTCTTCAGGAAGATGGAAGAGGAGACACAAACAGCATCATATTGGGAGACTGGAACAGCATTGTTGGAGATGAACCATATCAGAATATTGTTGGATCACATGGACTAGGAAGACGGAATCACAGAGGTCAAATGCTTATTGACTTTTGTGAACGAAATGGATTGATTGTTACCAACACTTGGTTCAAGAAGCCAAAGAGAAGAATTTACACATGGAAGGCACCTGGGGATTGGAAGAGGCATCAGCTGGACTACATCCTTGTGAAACATCGATTCAGAAACAGTGTGAAGGATGTGAAGACGCTTCCTGGGGCAGACATTGACTCTGACCACAACTTGCTGGTTGCCAAGTTCCGAACCAGGTTGAAGAAAATTATAGGATTTCGAAAGCGCAGACCCAGATGGGATTTGGAGAAGTTATATGCTCAAAGACAAAGCGTGCAAGAGACTCTAGAAGAGAAACTCGGTGCAATTGAAGGTGAAAGCGGAAATGCTGAAGCGCAGTGGAACGATATAAAAGAATGCATGTTAGATACTATCAGTGATTTGGTAGGTAAAGTTGAGAAGATAGCAAGAAAACCATGGGTTACACAGGAGATGATGAGTAAAATGGAGGAGCGAAGGAAATGGAAGAATGTCAACAATGAAGAAGGCAGGAGGAAATACAGGAGACTGAGGAATGAATTGAAAAGAGCCACGGACAGGGCCAAAAAGGAATATCTTGAGAAGATATGTAATGAGATTATGGAATTTCAAAGAACAGGCCGTTATGATTTGATGTACATGAAGACAAAAGAACTAGGATGGAAAGAGAATCATGGGATTCAAAATGTTGGCATCGAAGACTCCCAGGGGAATAGAATAGTAGATCAGAGGCAAGTGCTGAAAATTTGGGAAAATTATATTTCAGAACTATATGATCGACCTAATCGGCCAGAAACCTTAGAAGTTGAACCGGAAGAAGAAGTAGATACAGACGAGAAAGGACCATATATTTTACAAAGTGAGGTGGAAAAAGCTATCAAGGAAATGAGGAAGGGAAAGGCTACAGGAGATGATGATGTACCTGGAGATGTGCTCAAGTTACTGGGAGAAGGTGGTTTGAAAACACTGACAAAACTAATGAACACCATATATGAAAGTGGAGAGTGGCCCAAGGACTTTACAGAAGTTACAATGATTGCCTTAAAGAAAAAGACAAAAGCTACAAAATGCAGCGACCATCGCACAATAAGTCTTATTGCACATACAGCAAAGATAATAGCAAAGATACTTAAAAGAAGAATTGAAAGGAAAATAGAGGATGTACTTGGAGAAGATCAGTTTGGATTTAGAAGAGGAAAAGGAACCAGGGATGCAATTGGGATGATGAGAATTATAGCGGAACGAACTTTGGAGATAGATGAAGAACTGTGTGTTTGCTTCATAGACTGGCAGAAGGCATTTGACCGGGTAAACTGGACCAAATTAATGCAGATCCTGAAAGAAACAGGTATCGATTGGCATGAAAGAAGATTGATTAGCAAATTGTACATGGATCAGAAAGTTAGAGTACGACTGGACAGGGGGGAGACAGGAAGTGTGCAGATTGGAAGAGGAGTTCGACAAGGATGCTGTTTATCACCAATTCTGTTCAACTTGTACAGCGAATGCCTTACCAAGGAAGCTCTGGATGGGCTCGGTGACTTCAAAGTAGGAGGGCAAATTATTCAAACTGTGAAATATGCAGATGACCTTGTGTTAATGGCTAAGGAAGAAACTGTGCTACAGGGCATGATTGATAGACTAATTGAAATTGGAAGGTGCTATGGCATGGAAATGAATGTGGAGAAAACAAAAGTAATGAAAATTTCGAGACAACCAACCCCAGTCACAATAAAGATAGACCAAAAACAAGTGGAGAATGTGAAATGTTTTAAATATTTGGGTAGCTTGTTAACAGATGATGGAAGGTGTACTTGTGAAATTAAATCCAGGATTGCCATGGCAAAAGCTGCATTTAGCAAGAAGAAGAATCTTTTTACCAGCAAATTGGACTTAAATTTGAGGAAGAAACTAGTGAAATGCTACATTTGGAGCATAGCTCTGTATGGGGCTGAAACATGGACACTTAGGGCAGTAGATCAGAAACATCTGGAAAGTTTCGAAATGTGGTGTTGGAGAAGAATGGAGAAGATCAGTTGGACCGATTATGTGAGAAATGAAGAAGTGTTAATTAGAGTCAGTGAGCAGAGGAATATCCTACATGAAATAAGAAAACGGAAGGCTAATTGGATTGGTCATGTTTTACGCAGAAACTGCCTTCTAAAAGAAGCTATCGAAGGAAAGATAGATGGGCGGATAGAAGTGACAAGAAGACGAGGAAGAAGACGTAAGAAGATGCTGGATGACCTTGGGGACAGAAGAGGATACTGTCATTTGAAGGAGAAAGCTCTAGATCGCATTAAGTGGAGGAATTGTTTTGAAAGAGACTGTGGACCTGTCGTCTTGACAGATTACTGATGATGATGATGATGATGGACTTAACCTTGGGAGAAGAATATTGGAAAGAATGTTGTATGAAGTTGATAGCAGTGATATCCCATGATCACGCAGTTCTTCCTTATTCCACATAGAATTAATTAGCTTTTGGATCTTAGAACGTAGTATTTCACATCCTGCTTGAATTTGATCACTATCTGGCGATTTATACCTTTTCAATTTTGCAGCAGCACTTTCAACCTCGAAATGCTAGGTTCAGGAACTAACGGCTCAGCTGAACATCACTGACTGTACGTTAAATTCAGGCCGCCCTTTACCCCCAGGAACATTCCTTGTACTCGTTTCTGTTAGAGGCTGAATCGACCCCAAGGCCATAGCGCGACTGTAATGAATACATAGGTTAATTTCAATATCCAATAACCTCATCGGGAATCTGACCCGCGCCCTTCCGGCTTGTAGCATAGTGCCTCAAGCAACTACGCTCTCACGTGCCCCTTTGTATACGATGCAAATACATTAAAGCTTCGGAAGTCCCTAACTTCCGAAGCGAACCACTGAAAAACATTGCTTGAGTCACTTCACTGTGCACACGGATCTTACCTATGAAGAGCACAAGCACCCGCAGCGCGCCCACACCGACGGCAGACATGGTCCATCAGCACAGCTCACGCACTGGAGTGAGTGAATGTCGCCAAAGTGTTGACCCAGTCGGCAGACGTTCAAACGGAAACGGGGGTGCGCGGCCGTGATATTGATTCGTCTTCGGTCGCCTGGCAGAGTCACTATGGCTACAACACAAAGCGCACTCCTTTATTGACGTCATATCTCATTTCATTGCTCCGTGAATAGTAATATCATCTAATGAGCTTGCCAATTACGAAATTGCTACAGTAAATACCATGTCGTAAGTGAAACATCTTTACGGGGGACACGATGGTGTATTACACCCATTGTTATTACCGTTATGATACATTCACAAGAATATGCTCATTATAAATTTATAATCTAATTTTCGGCCCAATAGAGACAATTTGTTGAGAGAAGAGTCGCCTTTTTGGAATCTACTCAACACCGATTGAAAAGTATTCCAATTTGTGAGATTTGAAGTTATTGTGGCAGTGAGGCTTCTGGTGTTCTGGGTTATGCTACAACCACACTACTCGACGTCACAAAATCAGCTATTTCACTTTGGTTCAATTTGCTGACACGAAGGTTCAGAAAGTTTGAAGAGTCCCCTGGAGGTTGGTAAGAAACAAGCTACAGAGAGCGCGCAGTAGGTACCCCTCACCTGAGGATGGGTGTAGATCGGGCTCTCGGAACAGTGGACTACTTTACAGTATCGGACCATGGACAAAGTCGAAAACACTGGCAATATCAAAAAGAGTTCAGTATTCTGGGATATAACGCCATGTAGTCAAGAGTTCTATCCCAGGTCATAGCCAGCCGCTATGTTGAGACGTTGCTTGAGATCATTGACATACCTCCGGCTTGCTCTTGTTGCTTGATTCCGCAAAAATGAAGCATTCGGAGACGTGAAGTTATGTGACCTTACAGAACTCTCACTGAAATGATGTTACATTTGTGTCGCTCTGGTAACCTCGTCACGCCGTATCTCTGTCTGTGATCACGTGATGCATTCAGATAATGATCTATTATGACTGTACACTACACGGACAACTGTACTGACCTTTATGGACAGCTTTTCCATGAAGCTAACTTCTCAGTCAGCCCGACTCGAACGGAGGAGCGTCCTACTTTTCCACCTGACTCCATCGAACAGAGTTATATTTGAGAATCTCAATAGTTGATGAGCTATTCAAGAAATTCTCTGCTTTTTGAGGGAGCTGAATTTTCATGGCCGTGTTCGCAACAGCTTGCCAATGGACCCTATCCTGAGCCAGAAGAATCCTCTCAAGACCTGTATTTCTTCAAGAGCTATTTCAATAGTATCTTCTCATTTGCATTTAGGTCTCCTAAGTGGTCTGCCCATTAAGATTGTCTACTAAAATTCCTTGCATATTCCATGCATGCTATACACCTCGCCCAACATACCCAGTATTTGCCGAGGAGTAAAATTTCTTGATGGGGTATTTTACTGTGATTTAATATCCGGGTTGAACTACGTCAAGAGCAGTGACTTGAGAAGGATCTGGAAGGAAGCGGCTGTGGTTCAGTCGAGGTACTATCTCGGTATGTGCCTGCAAGGACCGAGAAGTCGCACGAAGAACCTCGGTCAGGGTGATCGGTGTGCGGCCGAGGGTCCAAACGGGTACCCCCCCGAAAACAAGCCAGGCGCTTTACCACTGCGCAAACCTGCTTGGTACGGGAAGTAGCCTGCAAATGCTGAAGATCCCAATTGTGTCTTCTCCCCACTCCTGTTACTTCAACTGTTCGTCCCAGCACTCTGAACATTGTCAGACACCCTAGCCTGTGCCCTCTGCTTAATATGGAGGCAGTTTCGCAACGGGTAAAATTATGCTTTAATATATTTTAAACTTCAAGTTTTTATTAAGATCGAAAAGTTTGTGAAGCTGGTACATTAATACAAGTAGTTCTTAGATAAAACAGGACGATGGATAATGCCCAAAAACATAATATTTGAATTCAAGTTTTTAGTTATCAAACGGGAAGACAAAATTTCCTGTCAGTCAGCACTCCTAAACTTGAATCTCTGTTCAGCATTCCGTATGACAACACTTTTAATATTGTCTCCTTGCTGCAGTAGATTTAAGTAAACTGCAAGCAAGAGGACGAGAGTTCCCCCAAGCCTCAGCAAAACTACGCTTAAGGCAGGCTGCAAACGCAAGTAAGGTCTTACAGATGAACTCAGTGCCGTTGAATCTAAAGAGAAGTGTTCCTTACATTCTGATTTCCGGTCTGGCCAGCAGGTTCCTGCCGTCTGCAGGCGTTGTGTGTCGTTTGGAGATTTCACGGCGGAGACGGAGACGGAGACAGAGACAGAGACAGTTTCTGAGGAACCGAACGCTGACTTCGTACTGGCGCGACTGGTCGCCCGAGAAGACTTCAGTGTGAACTACACACAACACACACACTACAAGGTAAGGAAATGCAAACTGACAGATGTGTAGTTGATAATAGCTTATTAAGAACGATTGAGATTTCTATGCTCCGTATTCTGCTATGTTTAGGCCCTTTGCACTATAGGTACCAGGATGTAATTACGTTCCCTCGTTGGTTGACGTGCTCCTTGCGAGATGTCATAGGTAGATTTTTTTTTTTTTTTTGCGTTTAGTAATCAACACAATTCCTCCTGCAGTCGTCACATTTCTCTTCTGCAGCTGTACGTCCATTTGGCTTCCTCACCAGTCACACAGTCTGTTGCACCTGCCCACGCTGGTTCGCTTGCGGATTTCTTCTTGTCTTCTACCCTGAAGATAGAAGCGATACGTTCCTCCGAAACGTCGGTTAACACAATATCTACATGGCGTCACATCCCAGACGACTGCTTTCTTCATAGTCACCGCCGTGAAAACCTCAAATCTTACAAATTATCTTCAGTTGTCTAATTTGGAGTGCCGGAAGGCGGGAAGTGGCCACGAGCCTCTGCCGCGGCATAGCACTCCCTCCCCCCGAGTGTGTAAAGAGGTTTCCTTGAGAGCCTCTTTGTGTGTTGACGGCATTTCGGTCCTCAAACTGAAGCTTAGTCTTAAACTTGCGGTTACTGCAAACTTTCAATTTCCTCTTTTATGAAAATATTGCCATTTGTAAATATGGTACTAAAATCCACTCGTCACGTTCAAGAAGTACAGTAATATACTTCCGTCCTAGAAATTTGTTCTTGCTGGTACCCCGTATGAATCTCCCTCGAGGTTTATGTTAACCTCGTCAGCACACTTCCCTAGCCATTCTGTTCCCAAGAATCGCGTGATAAAGCACTTTTGTCCGATTGACATAGGCCAGATTGGGTTTAGTTTAGGGGATACAGCAGCAGGCTTTGTCATCTCCTACCGTCCATGGAACTTCTTTCTTTGCACAGTGACTGAGTTCAGTTTCTACGGCTCTGTGTGTCTGTGTGTCTCGAGATGAACGAAGATGTGACGCGTTTAAACTTGTCATACTGGAAAGGATCTTATTAACAGTGGGTAAGGCTTTTAAACCACTACGGTAAGAAGGCAAAGTTCTCACCTGTGCTTGACTAATTAAGCACTACATCATGAAGGCATATGGGGGAGTGGACGTATAGATCCACATTTTCTTGACCTAAGTACTAGGTGGAGGTGAGTGGTCAGCTTCATGCCACGCCCGCTTTAACCCTGGAGAAAGAGCCCCCGTACCCATTGGAATGGAGGCTGGGTGGGCCCCAGACCTGGTCTGGACGACGTGGGGAAGAAAATTCTTGACCCTACAGGGACTCGATCTCTGACTCCTCGGTCGTCTAGCCCGTAGTCATTCGCTATACCGACTGAGCTGTCCCGGCTCCAAATCACAACGGTACTGCGGCATAAAACCGATGCTTATTTTGGCCAGGTTGACTCCGACAGAAGAACACAGTGTCCTAGGATGCCGCGAAACTCGCGATGAAGAGGGAACACCTCACAGTTGCTGGGTCACCTCGCGAGAAACGCTGTGCGTGACCTCGTTCTGCCGCACGCAATATCCGATATCCGGACTGGTCAGCCGGAGTGCTTCAACGTCGTTAGTGGCTCGCAGACGGGGACACCGAGCATATCTGCGCATCTGCTTCACTGCCTGGCAGGGACAGTAATGGACCCAGCTCGAGTCACAGGGTACATCATTCTGTGGACAGGTAAGTCCAAATCAGTGACTCCACTCCGACATTCTTTACACTGATCAAAATTTGGTTTTTGTACTTACATCAGTAAGAGATGAAATTCTCATAAAGTTCCACCGACTCGCCACAATCCAGCACAGCCGATACTGCAGCTTTATGCATCAAGTACTGCCAGAAACTTGAAACATGTGGCAACAAATACTCGCTTGATGCATTTTGGTTTTAGGTTAAATTTACAGCCTATCAACTGATGCTCGTTGTAGATAGATACATGATTACTGTCCTTCCTAAACGTTTCTACGGACTTGTCAGGCTACACGGCGTCATATGAATCTTTCATTCACTCATGGAGGTGAGTCCTTCTTGAGAAGCCGCAAGCTGTGCAGCTACTCAGGAACTTCCAAGCATTTTATGGAGCCCGAAGGTTCATTACCGTGTTCACACGAGCCCTTCACTGGTCCCAGTCCTGAGCGAGATCAATCCACCCCATCATATCTAAGATCCATTTTAATATTGTCCACCCACCTACGTCTTGGTCTTCCTAGTTGTCTGTTTCCTTCTGGCTTTCCCACCAATATCCTATATGCATTTCTCTTCTCCCCATTCGTACTACCTGGCCTGCCCATTTCATCCTCCTTGACTTGATCATATGAATATTATTTTTCCTCCTTCCAAACCTGATATTTTGTAGTCCTGTATGGAGGTGTGAATGCGAGCAGGAGCAGGAAGTTATAACAGGATCCTGAGTTCTGTCCCCAGCGAAACGTGTGAATGGAGACTGAACACAGCTTTTGAGCATGCGATGCGGAGTACGTTTCCACAGCACAGCTGGAAGAATTGTGTTAGAGTAACCTGCTCAGTTTCATGGCGCTCCTTGGTCTCTGCAGTGTATAAACAGCTGTTAAAGCTAACTGTACAACATTACGGCCGCCTTCATGAAGAGAGCGTCTTCTGAGATGTGACGTCGTGCATTCTTAGACCCTAACGATGAAGGCAGAAACATTCCTCCGAAACGTCGGTAAATGTTTAACATACTACACAGCGTCACGGAAGAGGATGTTCTTCATATATCAGTCTGGAATTATATTTGGGAGTGCTCGCTTCAAATCTTGACTCGGACGAAAGCCATCCTTAACTGAAACTTTTCGTCCCGCCAGGCAAATGATTGGACAGTGCGTAGATTGGACCACAATCGCTTCCTTCCAAATCATTACCAATTCAGTCATTCTACCACCGGACGCTGTGTAGTCTCGATATTGAAGATGTCACTAAACAATTAAACGTCCCATTCCAGGAACTATACGCTTCGTAAAGTGGAGTGTTAGAATATTGTCACGTGTATGGAGTGATTATAGGCGGGATTTTGGACGTATACTGGACTTATTGACCACTTTAACACATTACTCGTAATTACACTTAATTATAGCGCCATCCCTGATTTCCACACTTTACAATATCACGTTAAGTCTTCTCCAGCCCGCAGTGTCTTAACTAATAGTTGCCTGGCAACTGCTTCTAACATTGGCTGTTCTGCTTTCAGGCTGAAGTCCTCTCTGAATGTCGACACTAAACTTAACTTTTTCTTGCTCCAATTGTCCTCCTTATAAACCCTTTTTATACGGACCGAGTAGAAAACACCGTTTCCAACATTACCTTTATTGCTGCATGCGTATCCGTTGCCTAGAAACGGCTTTACATGCTACAATATGATTAGCTTAATTGAGAAGGAGAGTCTCCAATTGACTGCACAAGGCAGCATTAGGAATGAAACGGAGATTCAAATTAAGTTACTGTATCTGAGACAGAAACATGTTGAATGCATGAAGAAATGTGATTACATCGGTCACTACTGGAGAGACCAGGAGTCAGAGAGACCACATCAAGAAACCAGCAACTGCTTCACAATAACAAAAGTCTGGCCTTCGGCCCCAGATGGGGCTTAACACCAAGACAGACTGGCCAACTGACCAACGGCCATAACATAACTTTGACTTTGACTTAGTTGGTGAGTAAGTGAGTTATTTAGAGGACTGCTGGGGGTTCAGTCGCTGTGATCTGTTTCCGTGAGAATCTGGTAGCTGAGGCCGAGGACAGTTCGGGAATCCAGAGGAAGGGGAACGTTCGCTGGTGGAAGCCGCTGCCAAGCAACGGCAGCGAAGGCGTGACTGTGGAAACTAATGTGTCTGTGTGTTTGTGTCTAACAGTATACTGTAAAGTTCAGTCACGTGCTGTGTCAAAGAGTCCAATAAATCCGGCCATCAATCCAAAACCAGTCTCCAGTCACAATACATAAAATTGTAATAATATCAATTTTCGGTGCTATGTTAACCTGTAAGTAAACATACTGGGACGTATATATCCATCGCTAGGCAACGACGCGGTAAAAACATTCCCGCAGAAGCGCATACGCGCAACAATAGGACGTCCATTGCTAAGCAACGGATTAGTAAACAAACCTTCTCGAGAAGGTTGTTTGAGTTGTCGAGAATTGGTTTGAGTTTTTGAACTGGCAGTCTAAGTTGATTGGGAAAAATAGCAAGATAGGAATTAGACTGTGAAAAGAGGGCTTCATATGTGATTTGAAGTTACAGTGAGGTTTAAATCCATTGCCAAGATACGACTAGTGAAGACTGGGAACCGTAGTGTGTGTAGATGAGCGATAGCGCTATATTGCCTATAGCCGCCTTATGTGTGAATAAGATGTCAATAAATCCAATCATCCAATCCAAATCCCGTCTTCTTATAAGTCACTAGCACAAACCCATACACGTGACAATATTCAGTGTCTGAAATAACCCCTAACATAGTAGCTTCCGTAAGCTTCATTGCAAACCCTTTATTATACCGGCCACACAGGTCTGTGTGCGCCTCTGCTTGCCGACACGCTTACGTCTGCAGTATCCTCTAAATGTATGTAGGCCTACAGTTCAAGGAAATTGCACTTTCATTAACTGTAACTAAGTAACTAATAACTTCACAGAACTGAACCCTTTGTGAGAAACCGCCAATTCTGAAGTTATTCAAGAACTTCCCAAAATTCAGTGAAACTCGAAGGTTCATTACCGTGTTGACAAGAACCCTCCACTGGCCCTTAACCTCATTCAGATCCGTCTAGTCCATCTTCGGCCAGTTTGTGCTACATGCCAGCCCATATTGATTTCACTGACTGTAAACAACAAATGTAATATGGCAAAAATCACTTCATTCGATTTCATTTACTAATTTAGGCGAGTTTACAGGTTTCCAGGCTGTAAGTTGCCATAATGTGGAGCACCAGACCGGACAGATGAGTGAGTGGGCCCTTGGCACGTGCATCCTGCACATAAATGAGCCCTGTGACGACATCAAGGTCCGCTTTCTGCTGTACGCAGTGTAAGTGCACAATGCAGCATGTGCCACAACGGGGGCTTACATACAGCAAGCTTCCAGCTCTGGGGTTACCATGGAAATGCAAATACAGCATGTGCTGAGGTGTGAGTCACAACGCGAACATGTGTTCATTTCTAAGGGTCACCACGTGAGCACAGCATGTTTTCAGATATAAAAGTCTGCATGGAGGCAGGTGGTATGTAAGGTATATTCTCTTTTCCGGTCGCCATATTTTAATTCTCAGAAATATGGGCAGTTCTTTTTGATACTGATATGATATAAATATGTCAGGTACGTGAGGAATAAATAAGGATTTCTTTTACTATTTTTCCAATAATCTGGCAGTCACCTTTGGCAGTGATCAAAGCATCATCTTGCATTTCATGTCCTAAGTATCAGAATGTTTTTACATGAAATGTTCTTCTGATTAATTAAGAAATAACCTTTCAACCAAACACAATATTCCATTCTGTATACTAAGTTTTCATGTCAGGATTTGACACCGGGTTTAAGCCTCTGCCAAAATGTAGTCCCTTCCTAATTTTCCAGCTGAAATTTATTGGCGTTGAAGTGCAAGTTGTAACTCACATGCTCTGAAATAAACATCCGTTTCCCATTTCCTGTTTCGTTTAGTTTCAAGGAGGCTCCATAGTGAGATCCATACACTGTAGCAGTTTCTTTTGTTTCTTCTTGTCGGAAATTTCCTCCTGCATGTTCATCTGGCCCGTGAGGATGCTGCAGCTTCCCTCCACTATCTGTTGCATGGGCAAATGAGAGGAGTCTGTATGATGAGACAACAGCTGTCAGAATGTTCCGTATTGCTAGATTTTCAATTTGGCAGGAGAACTCAATCAAGTTCGTCTGTCTCTCCATTTGTCAGGGTCCAAAATCGTTGGGCACTTTCTGTTGACAATCAGACTTCCATCATTCCCATGCACAAAAATACCTACCTTACACAAGGCCTCACTTGAACTTCCCAAGTGACCAGAAGTGGCTTCTGCAGACTTTCTGAAGTGTGACATGACAGCCTTTCACTACTTTTTATTTAATTATACTCATTTTTATGTAGGCTTAATACACAACAATGAATGCCACTGATAATTACGTGCATTATACAATGGAAAAGGAAGGGTCATGCGGTAGCGTAGTTTGTTGAAGCACTGCGCTGCAAGCTGGAAGATCGTGGGTTCTATTTCCAGTGAGGTCACTGGGTTTTTTTCAACTGACCTGTTCATTCCAGCTGCACTGTAACCCTGGGTTCAACTCAACCTCTGACAGAAATGAGTACCAGGGATCCTGTTGGGGTTAAAGGGCTGCCAGCACATAAGGCTGACCATCTCACTTCCATCTGTGAGCTGATTGTCTAGAGAATGTGAGATTCTCGACGTCTCACAACCCTGTGGGCCTCCATGGCCTGTTACAGGTTTGGCTTTTATAAACTTGGAACCTGCAACGAAAAATAAAAGTCTCCATAAAAGTACTCTGTAGTACAGGATACAAATGTGGAGTGCCAATTACAGGTTACGATTTATAGTGTCATTAAGCATTTACCTTCTTGGAAATGTACCTCACACACTAAGGGCACAGTGATGTGAGTTTGTTGACCCGTGTAGAGTACCACAGTGCAGAAACCGGCCTGCTGTAGGTCCCTCCTTTGTTCCAGCGACGGAGAACCACTACCATTGCAAACGCATGACCCGAACCCACCACCCGGCACCTTTGATGCAGATCTGCCCACAAAGATTCTGATCCACGGGTACGCGGGCCATGCAGAGTTCAACAGCACAGTTGTTATCAGACAAGGTAAGAATCCAGACACTTCACCTGGAGAATGTCATTGTGAGAAGTGCACACTTGTGTTCTCTACTGCCGTGTACTTCCGAGACAGCAAGGTGAACTGCTGAGGAAACTGAAACTGAAGATGGAGGCAGCATTTTCCTCTGAAGCGTTACGCTCTCTCTGAACTACACGGCGGTACGACCCAGAGAACCATACAGGGAGAGCCTGAAATCCTACAGACTTGGTTCTGTTTCAATGTCTGTCTAAAATGCGGAATTTTCTCAAGAGCATCCACTCCAGAGACAGCCCTCTATGAAGGAACAAGTGCAGCGCACTTTAGTCAAATAGCCTGCATGCTCACTTATATCTTTGATACCCCAATTTGTTTACACGCCGATCTTGAAGAGGTAAAGTAAGTATGAAGTGAGTGCTCGAGGGTCACGACCCAGCGCTGTGCATAACAGCTCCCTGAAGCCATTCAGTGGCCATTTGTGGCAAAACGGATGAAGCTTGAAGCTTCCAGCACATTTGATTTCACAGCGTGATGCTTATGGAGGGGGGAGGAGACTTTGTGTTCATATCCCCCATTATAGCCAGGTTTACGTGGCCACTTTACTTTTTACTCAAGTCATAATTCTGATATTTTTATACAATGGACTTTTTCAAGTTCTACATCTCATAAGAATAGAAGTAACAAGTGGAGAGAACTAACGTTTATGGTGATAATTCGGCAGAACTTGTACAGTTACGATTATAAACTTGTTGGACTAATTGCTTGGCACAACGATCATGAAAACCCGACTGTCACTCAACACATCAGGAAGTCCCCCGAAATCTAAAGTCGTTACCGTGTTCACAAAATCCCTCCATGGGACAGCTTAACTTTCACGCCGTTTTTCTAACACAGGTTTTCATACCGCACGTTCATCTTAAACCCACAGCCTATTTCTCATGTTCTATTTTTCCTTCCTTCCAACACTATGTGATGTGATGTAACCCGACCTGTGTACACTGCGCTAATTTCGGTTCTGTGGGATCCTCCTCTGATTCTTATGGAATGTTATCACTTCTGTGCTCCAGTAACTGCATCCTGCTACATATCTAATGAATTTCATCTCTGCCTCTAGCCATGCTCTGTGATTTTGTAACAACGTCAAAGTGAGAGGATGCCTAGGATATCATAATCTTAATCCAGGTTGCCTTCAAACTCGGTTTTGTTTCATAATTGCTATTAGGGGCTGGTATAGCAACTGGCTACGGGCTGGACGGTCGAGGGGTTGGAGTTCGAGTCCATGTCGCCTAGACCAGCTCTGGGGTTCACCGAACTTCCTATCCAGTGGGTACCAGGTGTTGTTTCCCCAGGGATAAAGCAGCAGGGGTGTGAAGCTGACCACTCACCTCTACCTAGTGCCGAGGTAAAGAAATTATGGATTTATACATCCATTCTCCCAGATGCCTTCACGGCGTAGTGCTTGATAGTTAAACATAGGGAGAACTTTACCTTTTCACTGTTATTAGTAACGTTTTATTTCTTGCTTCCAAACAAGCAGTTTTGTCCCAGTCCTTGTGACAACACACACTTCCTGTACATTCACACAGAGACACATTTTACGGCATGTCTTGCCAAACCGCAACAGGCTGCAGGAGGGAATGCTATTTCATAGCATTTTTCGAACATTGATGTTTACATTTTGACCCCAATCCAGCCTACTTGGCTCGCAGAGGCTCCAACGTTATCGCTGTGGACTGGGGCCCTCTGGCAAGTCCTCCTTGCTACTTTGCTGCCATATTCAACATGCTCCAAGTGGCAACGTGTACCACTCACATGCTCCTGGGCCTTGCGACAAAGTTTTCTCTCCACCTGGCAAATGTGCATGCCGTGGGTTTCAGCCTCGGCGCACACATTGCTGCACTCTTAAGCAACAGCCTGTCCGTGGCCAGCGGTTCAAGGTTGGGCAGGATAACAGGTACGGAGCAGAACGTAACTTGTGTTGTGGTCAATGCATCTCCTGACATATTGCTGACATTTGTAAAGGCCTACATGCACTTTGGCCAGTAAGTTGAGCAGGAATATTTTGTTTGAACAAGAAATTTTTCGACCAAGCATTGTAGAGAAACTAGTCACTAGGGAATGGATTTTATTGCAAATGCATATTTCTTTCTCGCAACCAAAAGTATGCTCATTTGGATATATGTATGGTTTACTTCATTTTTTTAATTTTAGCATGGTTTGACATTGCATATAAATGTAAGTTATATGATCAAAGTTGGCACTGCTTTTAAAGTTACGTTTCCAAATGTGACACATTTGACTTGATATGGGTTGCACCATGTTGCAGAAATAATTCGTGTAAATTTTCATCTTGCTGTCAAGTTGGTGTCTTCTGTGAAGGAGGTATTTCTTAAAGCACCATGTAGCAAACAAGCATTTAAAGCAGTAGCACCGAACGTTCCACTTCTGTCGGAGCCACTATTAACGCACTGGGCACGTGGCTGTGAGTTGTTACACCAAACATTCAGAAACACTTTGGAATGTCGTGAATACATTTGATCCCAAAAGTTCAGCTTGAATTCAAATTGCCCAAAGTGTACGAAAGTGGTATAACTAGAAACTGATCTGCCATATATATCTGCTCACTTCTCTCATCTTCCATCCACCATTTCCTCACTGGGGCAAGCAATAGCAATACTACTTTGTATCAATCGTTAAGTGTATTCAGAACCACTGTTTCTGAATTGAATTCGGTTCCTGGAAGAGTGGGTGAAGTAGTGAAAGAGAAAGAACACAACATTCTTTAAAAAAACCGAGGATATGAACAAATTTGTGAAACTGAAGAAGTTTTAGCCAATAAACATACTGAACTGTCAAGTAAGGAATCACGAATGGTGAAGCAGATAGCGACTTTTGTACATGCAGCCTTAAGTTCCTGTGAGGTGGAAAGAAGTTTTTCCTGCTATATGGACATCTTACGAGAGAATAGGGAGCGACTAACTGTGGAAATCCTAAAACATTTCGTAATTGTGAACTGCAACAGAAGAGAAGCTGAAAGCTCGGAGAGCCTGGACTCGAGCCCATGTCAGGTAATGTGAGATTTGCTGTGGACGAAGTGGCACTGGTGCAGGTTTTCTCAGAGTACTTTGGTTTCCCCTGTCAATTCTCATTCCACCGACTGCTCCACATGTATCTATCATCCGGAGCCGGTACAATAGGCCGATTAGTGGCCGACATACAAAGTGAACAGTCTAACCCCACCCCAAGAAACTAAACAAAAAAAGAGAGACAAGTACTATGTAAGCTGAAGGGTGAGGTAGTAGTTTCTTTGATACACAGATACAGTTGTATCAGAATACATGGCGTCACATACCAGAAGATCTTCACTTCTGTAAGAACTCATATGTCCATGATGTGTTATCTGCAGCGGAATGGATGAGTTGCTTTGGATATTCTGAAGCAGGGACGCATTTGACCCAGGGCAACATGCGGGCTGTAGTTTTTAGGGTACAAATATCAAACTTCCATACACAACAATGAACTGTGTTGATGCAGGACTGGACCCAGCCTTGCCGCTGTTCGCGACGCTCAATGACGGCTGGAAGCTGGACTCTGGGGACGCCGATTTTGTGGACGTGATTCACACGAACGGTGGGGTGTTTGGCAAGATCGAAGCAGCTGGACACGCTGACTTCTTCGTCAATGGAGGCAGCTTTCAGCCCGCGTGCGCTGGTCACAGAAGTGAGTTCCATGTGCAATATATAGTGCCATAAATGAGGCTCTACCAACTGAGCCATGCCATTGCATTTAGTGTGAAGTAAATGGCAGTACCTAAGTCAAAAGCTCTGGTCGGATTTGTACAGTTACAACACAAAGAGTTAAGTGAATAAGACTGCTTGTCGCATTGGTATGTTTCAGCATGCACGTAATCTTATAAACCGCAGTGACCAATAGCATTAATCCTGCACTTTGCTTCCCCATGACTTACCGTCTGTCCATCCATCCATCCCTCTCTCTGTGTGCGTGCAATGACTGGAGTGCCTCTGAATGCAGTTCTACAAAATTTACAATATTGTCCCATGTATGAGTGACCATATGGGGTTTTGAATTGTAATTGGATTAATTGAACACTTATAGAACATAACTACAAGTAATTATAGTGCTATCATCAATTCACACATTCTGCAGTTCACTGCAGCACACACTTAAATGTTCTCAGTCTGCTGTTTCTTCGCCTGATAACGGCTTTAAACACCATAGCTTCCTCAACTTCCATGTTCACGCGTTACTAGCCGGCGACTGTCTCCCACCTAACTAAATTTTAGACTTGGCCTCCCTATAACATCTTGGCATGGATGGCATAGGAAACACCACTTCCAACAGTTCTACTCTTGCGTCACACAGCTGCCACACAGACCGCGTAGAGAACGCCTCTTCCCAGTTAGTCCATTCATGCATGTTAGGAATCTGTTGCCCAGCAACGGACGTCGCTTATGGAGTCATTACTTAGCAGTGGGTCCACATGCTACAGTATGAACTTTTACCGAAATTAGTGGACAAATATCACTTTTGCTTTCAAATGTAGCAGTAATAACAGACACATTACATGAAGACTTACATGTACGTCTGTGTGCATCTCATGTGTAACTATCTGGGCATCGGACAAAGAAACTATGAGAACAAAAATTGTACAGAAATACTACACCAACGTTTTATGCCCAAGTCTTAAAGGATTTGCCTTATTGAAGTAAAAGTGCCTGAACCAGCCAAAACTATTAACGTTACACACAGGCCTATATTAGGACCCGGGATAGCACAGTCAGTATAGCGACTGGCTATGGGCTGGATGACTGAGGGATCGGGAGTTCGAGTCCAGGTGGGGGCAAAAATTTTCTCTTCTCCACATTGTCCAGACTGGTTCTGGTGCTCACCCAACCACCTATCCAGTTTGTATCGTGCACTCTTTTCTTGGGGTTAAAGCGACAGGCGCATAAAGCTAGCCACTCACCTCCAACTAGTGCCGAGGTCAAGAAAACATGGATCTGTATATCATGACGTAGAGCTTCATTAATTAAGCACAGGGACAAGTAACCTGCTAATCATACCAACTTCATTCCAAGATGTGCCACTGTGTATCCATTTACAGATGTGCCAGTTTGCAGTCATCTGCTTGCAGCCATCTACTTCGCTGAGTCCGTAACGTCCGATGCCGGCTTCTGGGGCCGACCGTGCACCAACTTCTGGCAGTACCTCCTGGGCCTGTGCCCCGGCGGGAGCTTGCCTGAGGAGCAGCAGGTGCTGATGGGAGACACGTGCAGTGGCACGTAAGTGAGACACCTCTGGTCCTCTCTCAACAACAACTTGGTATTGTCACCTGTATGAGTGGGCTATAGACTAGGTTTAGATTGGCGACTCGATTTCTTGACCACTTATACACGCGTACATACAAATAACTATAGCAATATCACTGGGGCACGCAGTAGTGTAGTTGGTTGAGGGGCTATGCTACAGGCTGGAAGGTCGCGCTCGATGAGTCATTGGATTCTTTTTCTGTTGACCTAATCCTTCCAGCAGCACTAGGCCCTGGGGTTTACTCAGCCTCTAACAGAAATGAGTACCAGGAATTAATCAAATAATTTTCCTGGTGAGTAAAGTGCAGCTGGTGTGTAAGGCTGACAACCTTACTGCCATCTTTGAGCCAATTGTCTAGATAATGTGGGACCCTCAGTGTCTCACAACCCTATGGGCCTTCACTGCCTGGTACAGGGATAGCTTTACTTTTTTCTTTTTTCTATAGCAGTATCACTATTTCCACACTTTAGAGTTCACTAGAGCACACAGTCTAGTGATCTCAGACTGTTAATAGATGTTTCTTGGTAATGGCTCCAACAATGCCTATTCCTCTGCCTCTGGGCTCAAGTCTTCTGTTCACAGACTCTTGTGCAGAACTGACTAAGCTCTCTAACCTTATCCCTTGTGTTTAACATCAACATCATTGATAAGGTAAAATGGTAAAATTGTCCATGTGCTTAAATAATTAAGTGCTATCCATGAAGGCGTATGGGGGAGTGGATGTATAGATCGACGTTTTCTTGACCTGGGCACTAGTTGCAAGTGAGTGGTCAGTTTTACGCTCTGGCCACTTTACTACCAAGCCTCCAGTACCAATTGGATAGGAGGCTGGGTGAATCCCAGATCCAGTCTGGAGGACATGAAAAATTGTTGCCCCTGCCTGGACTTGAACTCCAGCCCCTAGGCTCTCCAGCCAATAGCCAGTTGTATCGAATGAAGGATGAAAGAGTTCATTTTCTGGCTAATGATGGAACATGCCCCAACAGAAATTCATGACAGTTATACTGTGTTGATATAAACTGTGTTTACAACATTTTTGAGGGTGCATATTAATTGGATATTGATGTTGTTATATTTTAGCGTCCTGTTGTACTGATTTAAGTCCATGATTTATTTCAACCGTCTTCCAGTGCATACACTCATCTACTGCTCATCTACTCATACTACGTGTGTTATACCCAGCAGGCCCAGCAGTATAACACACGCAGTCACAGGAGCAAGACACAACACAAAGCACAATACACACACAATAGTGAAAGAGTGCTCCGACAGAAGAGGATAGGTGTGACTCGTGTAGTGAGATACGACGTAGAGATGAAAAATCTTGAACAATTTTAATATTTTTAACATTTAACATTTATCCAATATATATGATAAATATGTATTTTAGTTATTTTAATATGAAGACGACAAGGCATGCAATGAACTAGTTTAGCGTAAATCGAATAAGCACCTGAAGATGGCACTTTTGTGCCGAAACATGTAGTGCGAGAGAGAGGAGGAGATAGATGAGTGTATGCACTGGAAGACGGTTGAAATAAATCATGGATATTGATGTATTAGAAATATATTTTATTTTCTGTATATGATGGTAGCCAACATTATAACATGGACATTGTTGACATGTTCAAGGCCAAAACAACAGTTTCAATTTCAAAGTTAATTTGTGCAGTCAGAAATTCAGCAGTTGCCATGAAGAGGGCCCCCAACTGAACAACAAACCACATTATCATTCATAATGCTTTGTGTTCCAGGACCAGAGGCATTTTCCTCGTGGAAACAAGTGATTCCCCACCGTACGCCCTAGGGAAGCATCACGATTTTCCACCGCAAGTCTTTGGGAAGCATTATTATCAATATTATACACTGTGGAAGCATCAGGATTCTCCACCATGCGCCAAGAAAGCATTAACATTTCCCACCATTCCCAAGGGAAGCATTCCCTGTTTTAAGTTGGGGAAACATTAGGATTCCCAGCTATACGCCATGGCGGAGAATCAGGATTCCCCAAGAAATTGAGGAGCATCATGACTGCCCTTACCTTACACATTTTGGAAGCATCATAATCCCCCCTCCCGGTGTGCCCTTGGAAAGTACGTATCAGGATACCTAATCTTACAGTCTTTGGAATCATCAGGATTTGTCACCATGATTTCCAGTGAAGCTTCATGATTTTCCTAACTTACACTTGGGAAGCATCAGAATTCCCCACCTTGCACACTTGGGAAGTATCAGGATTCTCCACCATATATTCCCATATTTCTCTGATACATATAGTAAACCTTTCAGTTAGAAGAGTGCTCTCAACTCAACATCAGCATGTTGTGCATAATTAAAAGAGTTTCAAAAAGTTCTGTGAGGGCATATTGACACATACTTAGTTCAGCATTTATACTGATATGCTTAAGTAATATATTTTTCGAACAAAAGGCTACCTTGACAACAGTGTGCATAGTGGAAATTGTTTATATTCATGTAAGATGTGTAATAAATTGTGCAGAAAGAAACACTATAATCTGAAGGAATGTTTGTTTGAATGACATTGAAGTTATGTAATATGTTTTTATTTGTGGGTGTGAGCATTATAGTTTTTTTCATAATGTAATGATGTGAAAATATGTGATTATTTTTTATTATGTTTTGTGTTCACATTTGTTCTTATCAGCTTCATAGAAGCTGGGTTCTTGGAGGCAAGCCTCTCTGGTTCATGCATGGCATATGCTTTGGATATTGTCTAGTCTGTTAGCTAACCCTTTCAGCATTACTGAACACTGTGTATTTGCAATGAAAACTGTAAGCAGGAATAATGTTTGGTGTACAGCTTTATGTACTATACCCTTGTCAGAATGCTTAACACATGAACATAGTTTACTTTAAAGAAACCTTGATTTCAGTGCACAAGAGTTGGATTCTGTGTTTAAGTATCAGGTAGTCCTGAAGCGTAAGGTGCCCTACAGAGGATACTCCAGGTTGCGTATAGGTTCACGTGATCACAGGACAGGGCGAGCAGGGGAGGACAAAGAAATCAGCAAGGCGGAAATACCCAAACAGAAATAACCAAATCAAATGTTAACAAAGAATAAATATAATATATTAATAAAGAAAGAATACAAACATAATGTAAATACCTGTATGAGAATGATTGCAGAGTTCGCTGTTCTCAGATAGAATACTATGTAGAGAAATTAATTTAGACGGTCGAGGATGACCTCGACCGGTGGTCCGAAACGAGAACAACCTACCCCATCGACGGTTGGAAAACCAAGAGCCTAGAGCTCCAGATGTTAGGCCGCTAAGTCGGCTCGGAAGGGGAAGGAGAGAAGGGGACAGTAGAGAAAGTAGAGGGGAGAAGTGCGCACACAGACCACGGACAGGAGCCGACGTCACAGTCCCACAGTAGTTGATTGTTTATATACAAATGGCATTTTGCTACTAAAGTTCTTGGGTTCAGTGCATATCAGAATCAGTTGTTTTTATGCCAGAAACATGGGAAACGTTCCTTTTCTGAATATGATCTTGAAGTCTAATTAACTCGATATGACCACAGTACAGAATCTTCACATAATGCAGCAGTAAATGATGATAGAGGCCCCATAAAGCAAGTGAGAGAAAGTAGCCTATTTATTAAATGTGTCTTGGCACTTGTT